CACTGGCCCTCTTACCTCACCCCCAAATATGCTCAGATAACAATATTTTCACTTCATTTATTCATTTAAAACAAGTCATTTCATACAGCATTTGCATATTTAAAATCATACACTTCATAAATAAAACTAATGCATCTTAATGACAATGGCAATATCACAAGAATTGTACAAAATAAAATTGGACATCTCCCAGGTAGCATCAGTGCACCAAATGAAAAAAAAATAATACTGACAAACAGACCAAAGAACATTTTTTAAAACCACAAAGCACTGTCCATTTTCATTAAGGAAAATATTTTTAACAAGAAAACCAGAACTTTGTCCTGGTTCACTCTTCCCTACTAGTTTTTCAAGCCACCGTCTAAAGCTCTCGGTCTGACAGTCTTTGTGGTTTTCTTCGTGCTTCATACAGAAAATATATCCTGCTTGACAAGCTATCCATATTTATTTTGTACCTTAAGCTGAATTCAATACTTTTTAAAAGGAAGGATTATTTTGTTGAGGAAATTGTATTTCCTGTAAACAACTTTGAGTCCTGAATGGCACCAAGGTGAACTGGAGAACTGACGAGAACTGGATGCCCTGGTCCTTTTAAGTAACTTCTGGGCTACAAACTACACATCCCACATCAGTTAGAAAGTCAGGCTTATGCTATCGTAGTAGACATCCTAAAGCTTTCTTCGGTTAATCTTCTTTTTGTAACCTACAACTTCACCAAATCATCCCTAAACTCCAGTTGCAGGTTTGTATTTTTAAAAACAAGTATAAAAAGGCATCATACCAAAATGCTTATATTCATGGTTTTATACTTCAATGACTAGCTTTTCAGTTATGACCCTGCTACATTCTATGCCAGGGGAGAAGGCTTAAGTTCACACAAAGGCATTGCTTGAACATTTTTCCAAAAAGCATAACTCATGACTAGGAAAGCTGCCTTTCAGAGGGTCCCTTCTGTTTAAGTGGTACTTTATTCTCCCACTCCTTTGTCTCTTCACTCTAAAACAGCATGGGAGGGCTAGCAATCTCTTTGAGAGTCATATGAACCAAGACTGAAATCAGCACCCCACAATTCAATTATCAATGTAGTAATTTCTTCAAACTTAAATATGCTAAGCACTATAAACACATTACCAGCCAATTTTTGCAAAAGAAAAAAATAAATAAAACCTTTTCCTACAGTCAGGAAAGCTTTACATTCTAAATTGGATGAAATGTGCTGAAATATTATAACTTTTAGTTAATATTATCTTTAGTTAGTAAATAGTTTATTCAAATCAAGTGTTTCACTGTAGTCTTAAAAATGTTGCTTATTACATATGATACTTTTAAGGTCTCTGACTCAAAAATCAGCTCCCTTAAAATAAGTTTGCCTAGAAACAAAAGATGAGTCTTTTCAAAGTTGTTACAGTCATCTTTGTGCTATAAGAACAAATTTGAATACTGCATTGTACAATGAACGATAAAGAACAATCACATTATAGAATTAACATTTTGAATGCTAGGGCACAGAGCATGCTCCTAATAGTTACTGAAATTGTGTGCTGTTATCAAAACACCAGAATGTTGTACCACTGGATACACTACACTGATGGTATTTGTTAATTGTGAGTAGCTGATTGTAAGCAGCTCAAGAATTATATTTTAATGTCTTTAAGATTCTTGGAGAGGGCTAACATGTAAACTTTTATTTCTTATTTTTTAAAGTGCTGCAAATAATAACAAATGCCTATTTCAACACATGATAGAACATAAGTCTTAATACAAGGAAGTTTAGGAAAGCCATATAATTCGTAAAGAAAAAAATCACTCTGCCTCTAATTTTGCATATTTCTCATTCTAATTATTATTTTTTTTTCAAAAAAGACAGAGAAAACTATGTTTAGCTAGGGTAGCCTGCAACATCTATGTTTTAAAGCCTACATAGAATAAAAAGAATAGGCTTGGTAAGCATATTAGGCATATATAGGTAATTCATTACTGATTGATTTTGTGGGCACGTGAACTTCATGTAATAATTATGTAATAATCAAGTGACATGACTACATTAGCTTTTTCCAGTAGGGTCAAGCTGACCAGTAGCCAAACTCTCAATGTACCCATTTTTCATGCATGGGAAATAATTTTAAAAAATCAACCACAGACATTAACAGAAGATGGTGTCTTAATGTGACTATCACCATCAAAAAATTATCAAGGATATCATTTTAGCTTCTGAAATCACTCTCTCTAGAAGTGCATCTTTATAGCCCTACACCTAATTTTTAAATCCAAAGAGTAAGGCAAAGAAGAATAATGGAAAGGAGTGGGGGATGGGAAAGTACAATCTTCATTCAGCCACTAATGTAAACAATTTTCATTTTAATTAAAAAAATATTGTATGGCAGTCAAAAACAATGACTAGGAAGAATGGTTTCATTCTGCTCAAGCACAAATTTAAGAAAAAGTTTCTTTTAATCCCACTGCAAGTACTAAATCTATAGATTTTTAAATTCTCAAGAGTATAATCTACACATTAATAAAGTAATTTCAAGAGTTTAATAAGTGTAGTAACAAACTATAAACTCTGTGAGGCTCATAAAATTGAGTTTAGAATGAGTACAAGCTTAGGTTTTTAATTCTTAGCAATTAAGTCAAAGGCTGCCATTTTGAATTTTCCATGATCAGAAATTAAAGTTCTAGTGCTGAATTTCAGCTGCTGATCAATTTTAAAAAGCCATTAATGACGGCAATGTCAGTTTCCCATTGGTGAATGGACAACTCAGACAACAGTAAACTAGAATGAAATAAGGTCCCCTGAATAAACACTTGACACTTGTTATCAAAGCGTAAGTTTAGATATACCAAAAAAAAAAAAAAAAAAAAAAAATTTAAATAGAGGGGTTTAATTTTATAAAATATCAGGTTCTTTTTCTATTTGCTAACATAATCCAATGCAGACAGAGTATTCTCAATTTTAAAGTGACAGAAGTTTATGTTGGGAAACACATCAATAGATGCCCGGTACATTATAAGTTACTCAATAAATATTTGTTGAATGAATATACTTCTCTAAAATTCCAGTTAGTAAATGTCAACTTTGGCTCCTGAAGTACCTAAGAAAGGAAGGAAAACAATTTGATAGATGTTACCCAGTAGTATACTCTTCACTTAGAATTTTAAATTTAGTATTTTCTGGGAAAAAGAACAGATACAAAAACCTTTTAGACTGGAGGATAGACAGGTACCAAGAGATTTTCAATCATATTCATTTGTACACATTATGATTGCCAAACATTAATGATCACAAACTTACAAGTGCTATTTTTAAGGCTCTGTAAAATAGAAAATTAAACATTTAAGTTATATTGACCATATTAACTTTTGCCTAAAGAGGCTATTCACATGAAAAGTACTAAAAAAAAAAGGTCATCTAATGATTTCCTGTATATTTTGTGACTTGTTTCTTAAAGATACTTTTCCCCTACATTGCTTATATGTTCCCTAATTTAATATGGCTACTTCCACCAAGGGAAAGTGCTAAAAGTAAATCTCAGTTGTGTAACATTTGTCAACAAGATATGGTAAAGAAGATTTTAGTGCTTGCAAGTATACCATTTTAGTGCTTGCAAGTTTTCTAAGTGAAATACTTAATAAAAATGAGACCAAACTAACAAAACGTCACAACATTAAGCCTCTTCACATTACGTGAGCTAATACACATCAAATTAAAATTTAGCATCCCTGATCGTCAGAAGATTCACGAAAAGAGGTAGAAAATTTTTTATCTGGAAGATCTCATAGAGTGAAGCTAAGTTTTAGAGGGTTTGCTTTAAGGATTAGCCCACCAAGCAAATGGCTATACATCTAATATTAGGAAGAAGCTTATTCAGGTAAGGCAACAGTTTTAAAACTGTCATATTTTGGAAATGAAACTAACTCATTCACATTATTATCCCAATTACTTTAAAACTCTTCAAAAGTCCAAGTAAGAGATCAAGATCATCGATAAGCAAAGTTATATTCTGCAGAAAGGTGAAATTATTAAAAGAGCATTAGTGGCAGGATAAGGCTAAGATAAAAACATCATGTTTAGATAATCAAACATCTACCAAAAACCAAACCAAAGCGTAATCATTAGCACTTTAAAGATTTTTTTTTAAAGAGTTGGAGGAAGTGCTCTTAAAAAGCTGAGGAAATTAAACCCCTTTAAATCTTTGTGTAAAAAGGCAAAATTCAAGCATTCAAATTTCAGTTAAAAAAATACCCTGCTGAACTAAAATTTATCCAATGGGACAAAGATTAATAAAGAAGTTGCATTAAAACACGAGGCAATGATCTTTGAAAGCTTCAGTAAGCTGCTCAGGCACCTTATCCCTCACACATTCTACTTCTCCACACTAAAGACCCTAAATTGGGCACCAGCAGTTCCTGTTTTTAACATTCTCAGGGAAAGACTCATCCCTGTAAAAATTGCTTGTATTTGTAACTGGTTAAGCACACATTTATCAAGTCTACCAAGTTGCAATATAAATAAGAGCAGTTTTGACAAGTCTGTGCATCTTCTGTTGAGGAATCAATTCATAATTTAGACACTATTAACTCAAGAGTTTTTAAAAGGACGCATTACTGGAGACACTGTGGTTTTTCTCCAGTGGCCTCACATGAAGCCTTCTGCTTTACCCCAAACAGGCAGCTGTTTTCTTCTACACGTTAACGCTGCTGGGTGCTAATGTACAAAATGAAAACTCAATCTTCAGGTTAGTGTCAGTAGGTAGGAAGGACCACCTAATCTGTTACCCCCAGCACGAAGAGGGCATGTATCACTGCTGTAGACACATCTGTAAACTTGCACACTAATTTTAATCTTAACAAGGAATTTCAGTGCCTTCGTGGTTTTAAGTTAAAAGGATGATTCAAGCATTGTGTGTTCTTGGTTCTTTAAGGTTACGAATAGCTTATTGGAAAACCCAGAACCTTCTGGATCTGTGAGGTAGTAGGCTTCAGTCCTCATCATGCATAGATCACACTTCTCCGAAGTTGGTATGGCCTGTCTCCTTGGCATGTTCTCTTGCTTCTGCTTGTCCAGTTAACCCCTTTTGACATATCATGCATCTCAGGGTGAAGCGGTTGACATCGGTAAACTGTCTCTTTCTTTTAGCTTCATCTGCTAATTCCAGTGCTTGTACCAGGACAATATCATCATTCGAGGAGAAGATAGTCAGAGGAGGGGTGTCTGGGTCAGGGAAGTTACGTTGGAGCGGGTCATAGTGGACACCGTCATAAATAAGCAGGACTCTTTTGGAGTATCCTGCGTCTTCCCCAAAACGGTCAATCCTCACTGTCTGGGTATCCACCACACATATTTCGCATTGGTAAAATTTAGACAGAATGGATATCTCAATAGCTCCTCCCCAAGTGTCATCCCTTTTGATCCATTCACAGTACTCTTGATTTGTTTTGCCCAGGATGGCTTCGCTGTAGAAATCTGGATCACTTGCTACGATTCGTGCTATGAGGCGTCTCATCTCAGGGGCGCATGCTGGATTCAAGACCCCTCCTTCCACCACATAGTACACGCTGGTAAAGAGGCAAGAGTTGTCTGCTGGGACCATAGTCCTGGTGAGCACAGGCACAGCTTCCCTGCCGTAACCAGGAGCACCATGTCTGGTAAACGCAGGGGAGGCGTGGGGCCTGGCTTGGTCTTCTTCAACGATCAGCATGTCGCCTGTTAAAAGGAAAACACATCCAGAACTGCCAAGAAATTACAGATGAAGCCAAGTCTGTTAATTACAAACAGAAGGAGCCAAAGTATATAAGCCGGGATTACTAGGGAGAATACAACTTGGCAAACAAGTGACTACCACTAATACTGTTTGTTAACTGGATCTTCATAAAAGCTCAAGACAGCCGAAACCGGTTTGGCTCAGTGGATAGAGTGTCAGCCTTCGGACTGAAAGGTCCCGGGTTCGATTTCGGTCAAGGGCATGTACCTGGGTTGCTGGCACATCCCCATAAGGAGGTGTGCAAGAAGCAGCTGATCGATGATTCTCTCTCATTGATGTTTCTAACACTCTATCCCTCTCCTTTCCTCTCTGTAAAAAATCAATAAAACATTTTTTTTAAAAAAAAAACTCAAGACAAACAAAGACCAAACATCTTAGGCTGCAACCCAATTCTGCGAAGGGCTGAAGCACCTTCACAGTTTCTTGAAAAGGTACATTTCAGGAACAAAATGCACCTTATTCTTGCTCCCTGTAGTTAAAAAGCACCCATCTTCCATAAGCTGTTTATCGCGGTCTAGGCCACTAGGGGGGTTCTCTTCCTTCTGAAAGTTATCCAGCCTGTTAGCTGTTTACAAGATCCCAGATAAAACAGCGGAAAGCTTTTCCCGATCAATATTGCTACTCTTAATGCTTGGATAGAAATAGCTGCTGCTGTTTAGCACCTGACAGGGCCTTTAGTTAGTGGATGTGTAAAAGCGACCCCTACAGTGAGGACACCTGCCGAAGGCGGTATCTGTGAAGGTGATGGCAAACACGAACCAGGGAAGCAAGCAAGAAAAGCATCTGCATCCTCCAGACCTGCTATCTTCTTTCAGTGATAAAGAGCCATCAGGACAGAGAAAACGGGTCCTACTTAATGTATGCTTTTGTGGATGCTGAGGGGGAAACAAAATGAATGAGATGTTTTCAAGACAGACTAGAAAGCAGTGTGATGAAGGAGGGAAGGGGTACACTCAAAGGCTTGGAGCTTCTCGCATGGGCTGGGACCTCCTTGTCTCTTTTCAGCGTGTCCCAGCTTCCGCCCGAGTTCTCCGGGCTCCCATCTCCCCTTCGCCTGGTCCTCAAAGCCCCTGGCCGACCCTCAGCCACCTCGCCTTTCCGGGCTGTTCTCCCTCTCGCCCCTTGCAATCCTTCCAGGGTTTCCCCCCCATCCCTACCCCCTGACCCCAGCCCCGATCCCCTTACCTGACTGGATGGGCAAATCCCCCAGCATGGTATCCCCATTGCTGAGGTCCAGGCACTCGGGCGGGTATCCCACGAGGATCCGCTGACAGTCGGGGGCGATCCCCGTGATGGCAGCGATCTGGCCCTGGAGCTCCCGCAGCCGGGTCCGGCTGGACAACTCCTGCAAGACATAGGTGCCGTCCTTGGCTTTGCAGCGGAGCCGCCACATCGTGTCGGTCCGGCCACCCATGGGCCTGACAGCCGTGGGGCCACCAGCTTTGGTCCCGGCAGCAGGATGGCAGGCGCCGCCGGGGCAACCAGCCTCCGGACGCACTCCAAAATGGGTACCCTTCGCTGGGCCAAACATCGCGAGAACTCGCTGGTGGACTACCGTTTCCGCGATATGGATATTTCCGGGCAGCGGCGTTTTCGCACTTGGAGAAGAGCGGGTTCTCTTAAAGCGACAAAAACGAGTTCCCCCACCCTCTGCCCCCCATCAGCAGCCGGAAGGCTGAAGAATTATCAGTATTTCTAAAGAACAAAAGGTCTCGCTGCTACCTGTAGATCAAGTGAGGTGCCATCCCAATCGGCCGCATATATGCTCAAGGCGAGAGGGCGGGGACGGAGCTCCTGAATCCAGTACATTGGAATGTGATCTTGCACTTAGCTGAGGTCGGGAATGGTTAAATGGGGGCTTCCGCGCTACACCGGGAGAGAGAGAGTCATGGTTCAGGACGCAAATGAATGCCAAGAGTGGTCAGTGAGTCAAAGGGCCTGCCAGAAATAACCAGATACTCGGGAACAGACTCATGGCTGCAGCAAACATGGACTCATCGAGGTTAAGGGGTGACTGGCCTTCCCACCTGCGGGAGGCTGTGACCTGAAAACGTCCATTGGCCACATCAGAAAGCTCAGTATGAGGTCAGACTCATCCTGGGCTTATTGCCCTCGGCCCCCCAGGGCAATTGCTACACCCAGGGAGGTGGGTGGCAGCGTGGAGGACTTCATGTGTGTCACCCACATTCCAGTTCAGGCCCCGAGTATACAAATAGGAAGATGTTTCTTCCCTCCCTGCCTTTGAGGATAACGAGTACTGTTGTCGGAAGAGAGGGTGGTGTGTAAGGGACTCATCGCCACTACATTTCACAGCAGCGTGAGGATGCTAGATGATGGGACCCCTTTCAAACCCTGTATCCCTAGAACCAAACGGCTGTGTCTAGCAAATAGATGCTTGGCCAATACTTGCCGAATGGATCTATAGTCGCAGAGGGCAAACTATCATAGACTGGGAGTTGTAATAGGACTTCCAAGGGAAATACCATTAGAGCTGTTTGAAGGAAGATTTTTAACCCCCAGCTGAAGGAGACATAAAGACATCTCTGAATGTTACCTCTCTTGCAAGAGATTCATACTCATTGTCCTTTTCCTAAATCCATAGAGCAGTACGCCCAAACCTGCGTAGCGGGTGGGAATGGGGTTTATCCACAGAATCCAGCGCAGGTGAAAAGTTTGTTTGAGATGTGCAAACTCACCTCTGCACAGACCTCTACCTCTGAATGAGCTATAGGTAACCTTTGACTCTTTTTACGCCTCTCATGACCCATTTTCCTGCTGGAGCCGGTTTCCTCTTTGGTTCTTCAAGATGACCATGACAGCAGGTACAGTGTGGGAGGCAGGAGGGGGCGTAATCAAGGTGGTAGACAAGACGTCCATGGAATAAGTGGATGGATCCAGAGAAGCTCGCGGTTCAGCACTTAGTTGGTTTTCTTCATTTAGAAAGTCTCAACCTCTGAGAAAGATAAGCAAACACCCTCAGCTGTCATCCGCTAGAGCGCGGAGGCTCCAGGAGGAAAGGGTTAACCTCCTCAAAGTTTTGGTCTTTCAAGTCACACCCACTCCAGACGGCTTCGTCCACACTCTCGCGAGAGTATGTAAAAAAAAAAAAAGATCACACGAGATACCACTTTTAACAAATCCCGCCCCCAGCCTTGTTAGTTGCCTAGCAACGACGCAGCCAACCTCCGCCCGTGCGGGGCAACTTGGGAACTCGCTCTCTTTTCCCCTTCACGGCGCCGTCCTCCTCGGGGAGCCTGCGTCAGCGAGTCCTGCCGGAGCCCCGCCCCCCCCGAGTCCGCGGGCGCCGATTGGTCGAGGATTCTCTCCAGGTGAGGACCAACGTGGGGGTGGGTGGAGCCAGGCGGTGGCACTTGAATTGCGAATGACTGACTGGGAGTGCCGGGCCCCAGGCCACCGTGTGTGTGTGTGTTTAGGGTAGGCTGGTGTCTGCTTCGTTCCCCGGGGATCTGCCGGGGTCACTGCCGGGAGGGATCTTGGGGATCACAGGGTGAGCGACAGCTGCACTGCGCCAGGCAGAGCCGGGGAGGGCGGGAGGAGGGGGACTGCGTACAACCCGGAGGAGGTGCGAGACGGAGGTGCCCGGCTGTTTCTGGGAAGTGCCGGCCCCGAGACGTAGCCCGGAGTGCGGACCTCCGGGGACTTGGATCGCAGCAGGTGTTTGGGTGGGAGGATCTGCGTGGTCAGTGAGAGCACAGCCAGTGCCAGGTTCTTAAAGCCATAGGACCTTCCTTCCTCACGAATTTCTTGTCGGGGTTTGGGAGGGGGTGGTGGTGTGAGCTCGGGGGCTCTCCCACCCCAGTTTGAACTGATCTGATGACACCTTAGGGTGTTTGCATCCCCTTAATTCTGTAGGTGACCTTGAGGAAGTCATTGACCACCTCTTTTGTGCCCCCAATGTTCCTTCTGTAGACCTTGTCCCGGGATAGATGGGGAGACGGTGCAGAGGAAGGGCTTGAGGATAAGAATACCAGAGGAGACATGGTGACGAGCGAAAACGGGGTGTCTTGTCCAGTTACAGTGTCTCCTTAAGGAAACATGTTTGATATGTTCCCACTTTCTCATCCCCCCCCCCCCCCCAGGACTGAATCCTACCATTGGACTGCCATTAGTTTGTGATAATGAACTTGATCTGTTCGCAACCCACCCCCCCAACGGCTGCCACTACTCTCCCCAGATTCTTAAACTAGAATTTGAGATCAGATAAGCTGCATAATTTGATTGACCTCAGTTTTTCAATCTGCAAAATGGGAAGGAGTAATAATGGTACTAAAAATCTGCCTTATTGCAGGAATATTGGAAAGAGTGAAAGAGATAATTGATGTGAATGTTACTCCTAAATCAGCATTATAAATGCAAGATTCTAGTGCTCTATATATATGCAGATGAAGAAACCTAGGGCTCTGGGTTCATGCCTTGGTCCTAAGGGCATGTAGCTATTAACTGGGAGGAAGAGGGTTGGATCTTTTCACTTTCACCACCCGGATCCTCCTCACTGTGCATTTCCCTTCCCTCCTTTACATTCTCCGTTGTCCCTTCCAGACCTCTGAAGAGCCGCCATGTCTGAGGATCCTGCACCTTCCTCAGAACAGAACGACAGCAGCTATCAAACCAAAGCCTCAAGTCTCCGCATGTCCGAGAAGAAATGTTGTAAGTTCTGGCCAAAGGGAGGGCTGCGCGCTCCCAGAATTTTGTCTCGGGAATATAGTTGTTACCCTAGCCTTGGCTGCTTGGTGGGAGTGAGAAGTAACTCTTTGACATGGGAGTGGAAGACAAAGTCTGCGAGAGGGAGTTCTAGTGTGAAAAAAGGAGACTCAAGGAAGGAAACAAATGTCTGTCCTTGGGGCTAGCCAGCGGGTGGAGCCCAGTCTTCCCTTACTGCTTTCTCTACCTGAACCTCTGTCTCCTGGGGGTATCTGCGTACTGAATGCTAAAAATTGGGGCAAGCATTAGCCGTACATGCTGGGAGGAAGGCAGAAGGACCCTGTGCAGGAATTACTTGGGGTTGACATTGTTAACAGTTTCCCTTTGTTTTTCTCGTGAGGGGGCTGCTCACTGGGGACATTGCAAGTAGGAACCGATTTCGACAGCCCTTCGTGGAATCAGCCTTGACCTTAGACTTTTCCCTGGATCTGGGGCACCTTACTTTCTCACAGGTTGAGAGCCTTTGAACTTTGCAGATTATGTTCCCGACAGATTCATTCCTTTGGGGACAGGTTTCACAGGAGTTTCTTGATGCTAGTTATTTAGACGGAGGTGGCTGGTGGGATGGCAGAGATGAAGCAGTTGCGGTCCTAAGCATTATTATGGACCTCAGCAGTGCAGAGGGTCAGGAGGCTCAGAAGGTCCTGGGCCGCTGGGCCCTGGATGTCTTGGGGAACCTAAAGGAATGCTGATCCTTCTTTCCCTCTGCGTTCAGATTGCATTTTTCCCATCATTCAGTCTTCTTGTTTCAGTGGTTACATGTATTGGCAGGTGGAAACAGCAGAGCAGCAGGAGACCTGGGATCATCTCGTGTTCAAAGCTTTCCCCAGAGTCTCAACCTTGATGTCATGCCCTTTTCAGTCTCATGATGAATGATAATAATCTCTTCACCCGGCGCCGATGAGGCTTGCTGGGTTTGGGGTTGTAGCGGAGGCAGGTGGTTTGGATGTGATACTTGGGTTGGCATACCTCTACGATTAGGGTCGCCTCTCTCTGCCAGGGCAGAAACTTAGGTATCCGGGGCAAATAACCAGCATAAGTGCGATGTTTTTCAGGGCAGTCTCTAGGGTAAGAATCTCTACGTTTGAATCTGGGATTTAATACTTCGTGGCTGTGTGCACTTGAACAAGTTGCTTATCCCTTTTGTAAAATTAGAGTACTAATAGCATGTCCCCCCAGAGTGATGCACTTAGAAGAGTGTCGGGCACAGAGCTAGGTGTATTATTTTCACCGGCAGCTCTGTTTGCACGTTGTGTTTATTCTAGAAACATATAAATTGAATTGTGGTCTAAATGCTGCGATGGGAGCTCTCTATTTAAAAGAAGCCGGTGAAGAATTATATTTTCAGTAAAGAATATTTTCTCCTCTTATTTGACAATATTGTAGCCCAGATTTTGGGGTTTGGGTGCACATTTTAAGAAGAGGCGCATTGATTCACAAGGGAACAAAGAGCCGTACATTTGTCGGGAGGAGTTAATGGATCGTGGGAGCCTCTGACCCTGCACCAGGCCCAGTGTCAGTCCGTGTGTCCGTGTCATGTCCCCCCCCCCCCCACCCGCCCCCCTTCCTGCTTTATTCTCCAAAGGAATCTCCTACCTGCCTTCCTGTCTCTGGGCATTTTTCTGCCCTGAAGGCTTCTGAGTAGCAGGAAACAGCACTTCCAGGCTTCTAGCCCCCTGGGCTCTTAATTCCTGGTTTGGGATCCTATCTGATCCTCACAGCTCCACCTTCTGCCCCACTGAAAGCATTTGGGTTGTCCTAAAGCCACTGTTCTTCATTTGCCCCATCTCTTCTCGCTTCCGGTTGGACTATGAAACTGTTACGGTCAAAGGAGAAATACGGTCATGAGGATATGTGTTAATTCATTTCCCTTTCCTCTGTTATTTGCCTGCATCTTGGAACAAGCTCCTCTGGCTGCTCAGGGTTCATACCCAGCGGTTCCTTTATTAATAGCTCAGCCATTATCCCCTCGGTGCTAATTACACCTGTGTTGGCTGACTTGGACTCTGTGAAGTGACTGAGCTGGGGATTGAAGGATTACTCTAGGGAAGTAAGCCCCAAGGGTGGGGTGAAGGAGAGTGCTGATGGCTGAGTGCCTTTAAGGTGCTCAGAGGACTGCTGCCAGGGCTCTGAAAGCAGTAGTGTGTGTGTGTGTGTGTGTGTGTGTGTGTGTGTGTGTGTGTGGTGGTGGTGGGGGTCTACATGCTTTTCTTTCTTTGTTTCATCTATTCTCTACTATTGTAAGTAGGTATGGAACAGACACATTCCCATGTATACTTTCCCTAATGACCAAAGCAGCACATGTTCATGAAATATTCAAACACTACAGAAAGGAAGTGATAAGTAAAAAATCTCCCACAATTTCTCTGTCCCTTTTAAGTTTGCTTCTTTCTAACAAGTCATTCTGGTTTGTTATTAATATCCTATTAAAGAAAAAAAGGTTCAAGCTGTACACTTTGGTTCTGCTGCTATTATCCCTCTCTCCCACTCCCCCTTTTAAGCTTGCTAGATCTTGGACATTTCCTTCCATGTCAGTCAATCCACATTTACCTCATTTTGCACAGGATTGCATTGTATGGATGTGTCAGTCTCCTCCTGATGGACATTTCCGTTTCCAATTTTCCACTGTCACAAACAATACTGCAGTGAGCATCCTTTCACAAACACACTCACACACACACACCTTTGCATGTTTGTGCTAGCAACTTTTCTATAGAAATAATAGAAGAAAAGATAGATATATTTAAACTGTTGATCAGCATGACTGTCCTACAAAGTTCTGTAAATTGTTTTAATATTTAATAATTGGTCATTATTAACTATAGTTGCATTGATTCATAGAACAACGTTCTTAGCAGTTTGGGTATTTCATGCCTCTTAGTCAAATAGTAGAAGGGGAGAATTGTCAGTTTTATGACTTCTGATGAGGAAAAAGAAGATATTACTAATGAAACCCACTTTAATGGGCAGCATATTTCAAGAATGTTGGATCTCTTTAGGGCAAATAGTGAACACGACTTTGATCATGAAAAGGCTGGGAACCATTGGCCTTCCGGGCCACCCTGCAGGATTGGATTAGAAAGCTTGGTTGTGCTTACCACATGGCTCCTTGGTCAGGTGCTGACCAGAGCTGGAGGCTGGGACTGAATGGGTGGACATGAAACCAAGAGTCCAGTCAGAGCCCTGACCTTGATTCTCTCTCTACTGTGGGTCATGCTGAGCTTGAGTTTTTCTGTCTATAGGAGGGAAGTCACCAAGTTCCATTTCCTCTTTCCCTTGCAGGGCCCTTATCCATGAAAGGAAAATAAGTTTAAGATCGAGAAAGTGAGTTAAACCTTGTGTAAAGAAGATAGAAGAGTCAAGATTGAAACAGCTTTCCATGATAGGCCAATGGGCATGTTACATTGTCTCTGAAATGAATCAGCACGAAGTGTCTACTACTGAAATTCAGGTGGTGGTGGTGGTGCTTTTTAACTGGCAGGACAGTCTGTTCCCGGTTCTGCTATTGTGGCAGTTTGAGGCAGGAAGTGTGGAAAACGAGAAGCACCAGTTGCGGCAGATGTTTGTGGGTGGATTGTGGGCAGAGGCAGGTGGTGCGGTTCTGGGGGCCGCTGTGGGGAGACATTCGTGACCTGTATTTTCTTTTGTTCCGAGCCCTCTTGTCCAGTTTGGTTTACACAGAGCAGCTGGTTCCTTCGTTGGTCTCAGAGCAGCTCCCAAGTATCAGTTTATTTTCCGCATTGGGGGGGGGGTCACAGGACCTTTCGGAAGCGCCTAATGGGCTGGAAGGTGTGGACAAAGCAGGCCTGGAAGTGCAGGTAATGAGCCAGACCACGGGGGATGGAGAAGAGCCAGGCGCTGAGTTGGAGAAAGTGAAGACTCAGGAGGATTTAAATACTGAAATCCCAGGTGGATAGATTTGCCTGTTGGGGGGTCAGAGGTCAGGGATAAACATCAGCTGAGGATGCTGGGTGAGTTCTCTTGCTTTTGTGCTGCAGATGTGATGAGAGATGAAAATCACTTCTAGAGCCCAGGGCCAGGAATTGTCTATGTGCCAGGCCCTCTGACCCTGAGCCCACCCCCCCTCACCAGTTGGGCCGCTCTTTGGCTTTCGTGTTCTTGCCAAACACCCCTAGGAAACTCTTCCTTCCGAGGGCTGTTTTCTACCCGGGCCCTTCTGCCTACTTCTCCATTGAGCTCTTTTGGCATTTCTTTCCCAGAAGAAAATAGATGACTTTCCGCCCACGTACCCCAATTTTACAGAACTGTTTCTTAGCTTTATGGGGTCCCCTTGTCCCGGGTTAGAGCAGTGGCAGTGACTTGCAGGGCACCCCCTGGAAAGCAGTGCTGGGAAGTGAAGGCAGTTGGTGCTTTCCCTCTCTGGTCCCTGTGCCCTTGGAGGAGCCCACAGAGCCTGAGCCTCCCAGATGACCTCCTGTTGGTCTAGGCCTAAGAAAGTAGCTGGCAGCTGTGCAGGGCCCTTACCCATCACTCCTCCAGAAGCAGGATGGGCAGAGAGGAGCCAGATTCTATGGGCAAGCTAATGAGAAATCACAGGCTCTTTTTAAGGAGAAAAGCCGCCGAGGAAACATAAAATCTGGACTCTAGTACCAGCTCTTCCCTGTCTTATTGCGTGTCCATAGGCAAGTCACCTGGCTGACGGAATATCTAGTTTGCTGCCCCCCTCCCCCCCTCCACCTCACTCCTATCCAGTGAGTTTGTAAATGAGTATTCCTGAAATAAGTTTCCTAAGGAAGCCTGGACCAATGACTGATCTTGCTTCTAAATTGTCTTGCAGGCTGGCCATGATGCCCATGTGGACTAAGCTTTACTGAAGTTTTCTGAGGTCTAGTCAGAACTTATGTCAAGTAGGCTTCTCCACAAGCTAATCTCTCTTAGAAATTCGGCTTAAGCTCATGTCCCAAGTGCAAGGCCGAAACAACTTGAAGCCAGGCTCTTTTTGTGGTGAGCAAGCTAATTCTTGTCCATGGCTCTGAAGGGATAGATGAGATGCTCAGCCTAGACACTCGGTTGGACCTATTCTAGGAGCCTGCTCAGTTCTAAACGGGTAGGATCTTCAGTCATGAGACCCTCCCTCAAAGCTAGATCATTCTTGAGTTAGGCAGAGTGCCATCCTTACTGTCTATTTCTTTCCACCTTGGGCACCTCTGTGAGACCTTGGACCTGTGGGGAAAACATGTCTTCATGTTCTGGGGACTTTCTGAAAATCGACATGACTCTTCAACTCTTTCAGGAGGGTTTGCCTGATAAATCACCAGTTTGCCTTCCCAGTTTTCCTGGATCCTTGTCTCACTGAGATGTTTGAGGATTAAATGAGATTCTAGCTATGAAGTTGCTAGCCCTGTGCATGAACCTTAGTTGGCCCCTAATCATTTAGCTGTATTCTGTCTCATTTCTTTTTTAAAAACTTTTAATTATTTTATTTCTTTATTGATTAAGGTATTACATTTTTGTCCCCCCATTACCTCTCCTCCACCCCCCTGTTGTCTGTGTCCATTGATTAGGCTTATATGCATGCATATAAGTCCTTTGGTTGATCTTTCCCCCTTACCCTATTCTGTCTCATTTCTCTCTAGCATGGGCATCCTACATGACCAACTCCCCGACTCTCATCGTTATGATTGGCTTGCCAGCCCGGGGCAAGACCTATGTGTCCAAGAAGCTCACACGTTACCTCAACTGGATCGGAGTGCCCACCAAAGGTAGGCGTGGGTCGTCCATTCTTTGAGAATGAATCCGTTCCTCCATCTCACAGGCCTCTGCGGGATTTGGTCTTCCTCGCATCAAGGTTATAGGGTGCTTCTGGCAGGCGTAGTTGCTGCTTCTGGATTTGCTGAATTTATTCTTGTTCATTCTTATTTCCTCCTGAATATATGATTCTATCCTCAGTGCCTATGACGGTACACGCTTTATATTGTTAAAGCCCTTCCCTATATGTCATCTTGTTTAGTCCTAGCAGTGCCCCAGTAAAATAGCGGAAGCGCCTGAGGAAATTGAAAACTGAGACAGCTTAAGGCTTGCCCAAGGTCTAATAAGTCTGAACTCCACCATAATTTGATTCTTAATCTGATATTGTTCCCTACATACCTTGGTGCCCTTTTTTTTTTTTTTTTTTTTTTTTTTTTTTTTTTTTCCATCCCCTTGGCCATTGTGACGTTAGATCAGGCTGTCCCCTTTGGCGGGGCCATTGTATGGTCTCGGTGCTTATGGGTGTTGGTGTCTCCTGCAGTGTTTAATCTCGGGGTATACCGGCGGGAAGCCGTCAAGTCCTATAAGTCCTATGACTTCTTCCGGCACGACAACGAGGAGGCCATGAAGATTCGCAAGTGAGTCTCCCGAGGCCTGACCTCTGGGCCAGCTCTTTCTCGGCCATCGTAAGAGAGGGTGTGATGGGGCTTCGTTTTCCTTTCTGTGGGGATTTCAAGTGGGAGTTGTCTCCTGGACAGGTCCCTTTGGGCTTGTTTGGGTAGAAGAACGGGGCTTAGGGAGATGTATGTATGCTTGCACATTAAGCCAACAGAGGCATAAGATAGATGCATGGGGTCGGGGGAAGGGAAAGATGTTATAAACGTCTCAGTGGGGAGTTGAAAGTTAGGGAAGTTTTTGACCAGTGAGAAAACTAAGCAGGAAGGGATGTGACTCCTATAGCAACCCAACTGCTCCGGTCTCTGGCTATGCCTGAGGCGGTCGCCTGCACTCCTCCTGCTGATTTCCTCTGCTCTTATGGCAGACAGTGTGCTGTGGTGGCACTGCAAGATGTTAAGGCGTATCTCACCGAGGAGAGCGGGCAGATTGCGGTAAGCCTTGCCTATCTCTTCCCCGACTTGGTGTCTACCTTTTCAAAGCTCTATAGCCCCTCCCTTCTCCCCCTCCTTGGGTCCACCTTGGTGGGATTCCATTTTTGTTCCCTACTCATTTACCTTGTGGGCGCTCTTCCCAGGTGTTTGATGCCACCAATACAACTAGGGAGAGGAGGGACATGATTTTGAACTTTGCCAAGGAGAATTCCTTCAAGGTAGGATCTGACTCCACATCGGAGGAAAGGGGATAAGTGGAAGTGGGCAGTTGGAAGGAACGTGGAGATCTGTTTGGCTCTGGTGAGTGAGGCCAAGACTGGATTTATGATTCTATCCTCTTGGGGCAGGCCCACAATCCTTGAGTGTTTTCTTGCAGGTACTTTCTCAGACCCTTAGCCTGTATGTCTGAGGCCCTGGGGATGTGGTAAGAGTTATTTTTAAAGGAAAAGGCCTTGAAGGCACTTTCATGAAAGAAAATCCTGGGCGATGTGGTGGCTGGGTGAAGTAGGTATGAGCATGTGCTCTTAATGAACAGCCCTGGCCAATTTTGACTCATTTATAATTGCCCTCTCTTTCTGGCCAGGTGTTCTTTGTGGAATCTGTCTGTGATGATCCTGATGTCATCGCTGCCAACATCCTGGTGGGTGACACCCCGTATACCACCACCTCTTTATCCTTTGTGCCTGGTGTGTGTGGGGAGAGGGGACCAGGAGAGGCGAGTCAACTGGGTAATGAAAGAAAGAAATAGACATGTTTAACATCACTGATCTATTTGATCTGCCAGAGCACCGTTTTGTACTCGCACACTCTTGGGAGAGGAAACAGGCTTTGAGGAATAAAATAAGAATTAGCTGTTGAATGGAGACCAAGACTTAGACTGTACGATTCCTGGCCCTGTGTTCTGGGTATTAGCTGGATGCGGAGACCTAGAGGTATTCTTAGAATAGACCAAACTCATGATCTGTCAGGGCCACTTTCTAGGAAGGCCATCTGCCCAGTGTTTGTCTAATGGTCAGAGTCTAAACCAGTGCCCATTTGATGGGTTGTGCTGTGCCATCAAGATGGTGCTCTCCCAGCAACGTGGGAACTTGGGATCATCTAAGGGAGAGGCGTCTGGTCCAGGTCAGGCATGCGTCAACTCACGCATCTTATCCTAAAAGGTCGTGGGGAGAGATGGAAACACATTCTGTTTTCCCAAGGAGGTACATAGAGGGCTCAGGGCTCAGGAACAGCATCCACTGCATGACCGCTGGCTGTCCTTCAGCCAGGGGCAAGCACATGACTCCCCAGTTGTCTTGCCCTTCTGGGTTGCCAGGATCATAGGACAGAGTGGGGGTGGTGCTCAATGAATGGGGGTTGCCAGAGCTGCAGTGAAAGGCCACTGCTGTGGACTTCCTTTTCTTTATTTAGCTGTGGCTGTTTGCAGCAGGGCTAGTGCGGGCAGACTTCTGACTAGTCCTGCTCTTCTGTGATTCCAGGAAGTAAAGGTGTCAAGCCCTGATTACCCTGAAAGGAACAGGGAGAATGTGATGGAGGACTTCCTAAAGAGAATTGAGTGCTACAAAGTCACCTATCAACCCCTGGACCCAGACAATTATGACAAGTAAGGTTTGAGGCCACGGTTTAAAGGACATAAATATGGACCTCATTTGAGGAAAGAGCCTTTCTCTCCCTGTTCCCAAACTTCCTTCTGCCATTTCAGACCCTTTTATCTCTTCAGAGAGACAAGGTATGGATTTGTGGCTCCTATGTGGGTTGCAGCTTACCCTTGAACACTGACATGTTTTGTTTTTATGATCATCAATTCTTCCTGTCTCTCCTAGAGCAGGGGTGGGGAACCTCTTTTCTGCCAAGGGCCATTTGGGTATTTATAACATAATTCGTGACCATACAAAATTATCACCTTAAAAATTATCTGCTAAATTTGGTCAAACACTTAATTAACTCACCCCTCATGCCTTGGCAGGGCCAGACCCAATGATTTTGTGGGCCTTGTTCAGCCTGTGGGCTGGACATTCCCCACCCCTGCTCTGGAGCAAGATTTCTCAACCTCCACATGATTGACCTTTTGAACTAGATAATTCTGTGTAGTTGTCTTGTGCATTGTAGGATACTTAGCAGCATCCCTGCCCTCTGCTCACACGATACCAGTAATGACTTCCAACCTGTGACAACATAAAATGTTTTCTGGCATTGCCTGGGGAATAAAATCACCCTTGGTTGAGAAGCACTGCTTTAGATCAGTAGTTTTGAACTAGGGTAAATGTAGGGTACCCCTTGGTCAATTTTTAAAGTGTATAGTGTATGTGTGTGTATATATATGTTAAGTAATATATATTAATACATATACATGCATATATTACATATATAACAACACACACAATATAAAACAATGTGTATGTTATATGCATGTACTGTATATGTAATACGTATCTTGTTATATTTAACAGGTAATATATTATGTATATAAATAAGACATGAAGTTCTCATGAACATGCCTGGCTTAATGAAATGTCTGATCATGGCTAGCTGTCGCTACCATGGCAGCTTCTATCAGCAAAGTGGTGTACAATACACATTAACTTGTTGTGTGTGAGTTATAGGAGCCATAGCAAAAGGTCAAGTTCATGTTGAAGAAAGATGTGTGTGCATGGAAACATGTGAGGACTTGGAGTGCTAAACACACAGTAGAATATACAGATGATGTGTTGTAGAATTGTAAACCTGAAGTCTATATAATTTTATTAACCAGTGTCACCCCAATAAATTTTAAAAAAAGAAACCTGTGAGAATGTGGCCTTTGAAAAAGGCATGCAGCCCACAGTTCCCATCTATCCCAGTAAAAACACAGCCCTACAGCCCAGCAAATGAGACTGGTTTGCATAGCCACTGTTGAATTACTTCAGTGTCTGCTTTTGAGTCTTTCAGTTCCTTCAAGGGGTTGCCCAGAATGTTACTATTTGCAGGTGTTTTTTATAAGAGGTTGCAAACCACCTCCCTAGATATGGCTTAATAGTATATTCTTTAGTTACCCCCAAAGTTCTATACATAGAACAACATTCTGAAAGTGTGTGTGTGTGTGTGTGTGTGTGTGTGTGTGTGTGTGTTTATAGATGTTATCTCTGATGGTAGGCTTATGGGTGATTTTTATTCGTGTCAATGTACCTTTAAAAAAATTTTTTTGGAATAAGCATTATTATTTTTATAATGAGGCAACTCCATGATGGCCACAAAGCAAACTGTCCACGGAAGTGCCTTTGAGGGATGTAGGTAGATGCCGGGAATACACAGAGGTTCCTCTGGTTCTGCTTCTCCTGCCTCCCCCTCACCACTGGTGATGCTGTACCCTGGCCAGGTCTCGACCCCTCAGATGGGGGGTTATGCTTCTCACCCAAATTCAAGGTTAGCAAAACCTTAAGGTCATCTAGTGTAGCCCCTGACGGGAGCCTGAGTTCTTTTGGTCATGCCTATTTCATGGCACAGGGAGGGACTCCGGACACTGAGGGACTGGCCAGGAGTTCCGGAGATTTTACTTCATCTTGGTTCTGGGGAGTACCAGCTCTTACCATTCAGCTGCGTGGGGCTCTGACAGGGGAGGAGGAGAGCTACTGTGAGTCTGTGAGAACTGTGACCTTTCCCTGCTATGTTATCCTGAGATTTTTATACTCAGGAGATCCCCTCCTTTCCCCTTCTGTCCCAGGGATCTTTCTTTCATCAAGGTGATCAACGTGGGCCAGCGGTTTCTAGTGAACAGAGTCCAGGACTACATCCAGAGCAAGATAGTCTACTACCTCATGAACATCCATGTCTATCCCCGCACCATCTACCTTTGCCGGCACGGAGAGAGCGAGTTCAATCTCCTGGGGAAGATTGGGGGTGACTCTGGCCTCTCGGCACGGGGCAAACAGGTGAGTAGTTGGCCAGCAGGCTGATTTCCCAGGCTTAGAATTAGCGGGCGTGGTGGAGGTCATCTCTCTTATCCCCTTACTTCTTCCTAAACCCCACTGAGGCTTAGATCTCAGGTGGTCAAGCAAGGGCTAAAGCCTTTTTTTCCTTTTTTTTCCCCTCAAATATATTTTATTGATTTTTTTACAGACAGGAAAGGAGAGGGACAGAAAGTCAGAAACATTGATGAGAGAGAAACATTAATCAGCTGCCTCCTGCACACATCCTCACTGGGGATGTGCCCGCAACCAAGGTACATGCCCTTGACCAGAATCGAACCTGAGACCTTTCATTCCGCAGGCTGACGCTTTAGTGTTCACTAATTCTAGCTCCGTACTGGAGTGTGGATGACTTGGAACCATTTCTGCTGTGGTCATTCAGCCATTGGTTATTGGGCACAACTTGTGTGCTTAGCAGAGCACAGGGAGCTTCAGCTGAGGCTGTTTTCCTCTTGGATTTATTGCATGGAGCAGCTTCCAGATATCCACTGCGGTCATGCACAATGCCCTCCTAGGCTGAGTGAGCAGGTGTATGTGTGTGTCCGTGTTTCCTCTCTTGAAACTTTTATTTCAAACCCCAGTTTGCCCAAGCTCTCAGAAAGTTTCTGGAGGAACAGGAGATAGCGGATCTCAAGGTGTGGACCAGCCAGCTGAAGAGGACCATCCAGACTGCGGAATCGCTGGGGGTGACCTACGAGCAGTGGAAGATTCTGAATGAGATTGACGCTGTGAGTTGGAAGCTCTGGCGGCCTGGATGGTCTCTTATTCAGGCAGGATCTCTCAGACGTCACCATTGGGGCAGTTTTACCTAACATCGAGGACCACCAAGTAGAGACACTGAAGAAGCCAAAACTGGCCGGTGTGGGGAGGAAGTGGGAGCAGTTCCGCCCCTGATTAGGGCTTCCTGCCTCCTGGAACACCTGTGCCAGTAATGGCACGCCAACCAATCTTGGGGCACCTGGGAGTTCCATTTGGTACCTCGGTATGTTTTTTTCCTGGGAAAAAGAAATAGCTAACAGCTCTTGCCTTTAATTTCTACTTAGTTCCTTAAAAAAGTCCTTTTCATTCGTTTCCTTGGCTTTCTCTGTCCTTGAGCACAATAGTAGGCATTTCTTTTTCTTTCCTTCCTCTGCACCCTTTTAAGCCTTCTGCAAGAATTCCTCTTCCACTTCCTTTCACTTCCTCTCCTTCCCTGCTCCCTGTTCCTTTTATCCCACTGACTTTTCTCGACCTTTAAATTCCTCCCAGTAGTAGGAGGAAGTGGCAGCTTTCGCTAGAGAAGCCGCCTCCTCTCTGCCGTGGCCCTCACCCTGCCAGTCCCAGCCCCCCTGGCCAGGCAGTGGCAGGACACGCCAGGACCCGGCACAGTGCCTGGCGCGTAGTAAGAAACTAGTGTTCCTCGGTGTCGCCTGCCTTCGTCGGGTGGGGCCCAGTGGGCCTGTCTACCCCTGTAAGCCAGCGTGGCTCCCTGCAGGGCGTGTGCGAGGAGATGACCTACGCCGAGATTGAGCAGCAGTACCCAGAGGAGTTCGCACTTCGAGATCAAGAGAAATATCTGTATCGCTATCCTAGCGGGGAGGTGAGATTCCCCTCCTGTGGCACCACTGCCCTGCCCTGTGCTGGGAGTTTAGTGTTAACTTTGGGGAAGGATGGAATGTGATTTCGGGTGGGAGGGGGATCTAGAAAGGGTAGTTAAGGCAGCACTTAGTTTATCCTCCTGTCTTTGGGTCCTACTGTTTTTAGTTCAGCTTAGGCAGCCAAATGCCTCATTCATTTGTTAAGATCTCTAGGGCAGTGGTTGGCAAACTCATTAGTCAACAGAGCCAAATATCAACAGTACGACGATTGAAATTTCTTTTGAGAGCCACATTTTTAAAACTTAAACTATAGAGGCAGGTACACTGTTATGAACTTAATTAGGGTACTCCTAAGCTGGCCCTTGCTAAAAACTCAAGGGGCCAAAAAGCTGCATGTGGCTCGCGAGCCACAGTTGGCCGACCACTGCTCTAGGGGAAAGAGTAGCAAGACAAACTGTTGAGTAGGTGGTAGAATCAACTTGATCTTTTTCACTTTATTTTTCATTCCACTCACTACATCTCACGCCCAGATATGGGCACCAAGTAGATAGATGGGCTGTGAGTGAAATCCCTATCATCTTCAGTGTTTTGAGCTGTTTCCTGGTGTAAGTGGCTCCTCTGTCTAGGGATGTGTGAGATGAAGGTAAGTCAACGTATGACCGAGGCCCAGGAACCCCCTGTTGCCTTATGCTTTGCCCATTAATCTGGGGAAGAAAAACCTCACATACCGGATGTAGTTTCCTCAGGCTGAGTGTTGCCCTTGAAAGGTCTGAATATTGTTAGGAGCTTCCAAGGCCGGGGAGTTAGCAGGCAACATGCAGTCAGTTGCTGAAGCTCTAGGAGGAAAGCCAGCTGGGGAGGAAGGAGCTGTGGCCTCTTTACTCTGGACACAGCCTCTGCCTCGGCTGCCAGCTTGCGCCGGGCCTCCTAGCAGCCTGCCCACTTCCCCCCGCAGTCGTACCAGGACCTGGTGCAGCGGCTGGAGCCTGTCATCATGGAGCTGGAGCGCCAGGGCAATGTCCTCGTCATCTCCCACCAGGCTGTCATGCGCTGCCTCCTGGCCTACTTCCTGGATAAGGGCGCAGGTGCCACTGAGGGGAGGGCTGGGAGGGGGTTGCACCAGGATCCCTGGTAATTGGACCTCCTCCCTCTTTCCCTCAAATTGAAGTACATTCTTCAGATGCCAGTGTGGGGCACCCAGCAGCCACTGAGCCAGCTATTTGCTGAATTGATTGCTGGTCCAAAAGCCCCCAGTGGAGGGGCTGGTGCTGGGGCTGCTCAGCCTGCTTGGCTAGAGGGCAGCCTAGAGCTAACCCTTCTGGCAGCACCAGAAGAGCGGTTGAACACTGCCAGCTTGTTCCTTTGGCTGCTAGGAGGGTGGTATCCTAGAAGCATCTTCATCCTTAGATGTAAGACAGTTGCTGGGTGTAGCCGGAAGGAAGTGCTGCTGCCTTCTCAGACACTTTCCTTTCTGGCCTACTTGACCCTGAGCAGCTGGGAAGCTTGTGGGTGGGGGGGGAGGGGTCTCTCTTTCCTTCCATGGGGTCCTGGCTGCAGCACTTACTCCTGTACTCCTGTTTGGCCTGCATGGAGGGATCTAAGTCACATAGTTGCTTGGGTGGCTTCTTTGGTGGTTGCCTTGGTAACCATCTGGGGTTTAGGGGCGGAGCTGTATAACTCCAGGTCCAGGTTAAGGGAGGAGTTGTCTAACTCCAGGTCAAGGTAAAGAGAACTCATGAGCTCCTCAGTCTCTTTCTGCCACTAGCTTGGCCTTACTCCATACTGAGAGTCTTCCTCGCCTGGTCTTTCTGCTTTCAGATGAGCTGCCGTACTTGAGGTGCCCTCTCCATACCATCTTCAGACTCACTCCTGTGGCCTACGGTAACTAAGCATTTAGGAGCTGGGCAGAAGGTGGGGAATGAGGAAGGTCAGGATTTCTCTGAAGTGTGTGCAGAAGTTCACCCCTGTGTGCCAGGAAAGCTCTGTTTGTAAATGTATGTAGGTATCGGGGAGCATTCTGTTCTCGTGCGCTTCCCCATACAGAAACAGAGGGATCTTTCTCGGAGCTCCGCCCCACAAAGGCCTCTTACCTTTCCTCCGTGTTCCCAGGGTGCAAAGTGGAAACGATCAAGGTCAACGTGGAGGCCGTGAACACTCACCGCGACAAGCCAGCTGTAAGTATTTCCCACGGATGAGCTTGCAGGTGCCCTGCCACCTTGAGTCTCTGAACCTTTGGCATCAAGACACTGGGGTTGCTTTTATGGACAGAAGGAAGGCAGATCCAGAGCTCACGTCCTGGGGAGTCTGCTCACTTCCAAGAGGCAGAGATGTTGGCATTACTATTTCTAGAGATTAGTACCTCTTTCATGAGTCTTGACCCTGGAACCTCCTGGAAATCCAGTTAAAAATGCAAAGCGTTTGGCTGAAGGGAAGTGCAATGCCCTCCTCCTGCCCCCCCTCACCCCCCTTTAGAAAGCGGGATCTAGCAGAACCCAACCTGTAAGGTGGGATGAAGAGGTGCAGTTTGGTTCCTAGGTCTGTCCTGATAGCCTGTTCGCTCTTAAGTAAGCCCCTTCCTTTCTGTGTCCCTCTTTCCTGCTTTGGAGTTTGATGCTTAAGGAGAGTCTCCCTCTACAATCCTTTAGCTTCCTGGGGCTAGGGGACCCGGCTGCCCCCAGGACTCAGGAAACTGCCTCAGGAGCAGGATGGAGGGAGCTGTTGTGGTTTATAAGCATTTATTTAACCTTCATGAGTGAGCTCTTTCTTGTCTTGGCTTTCATTTGTGTGGTGTCCCTCCGTTTCTAATCAGAACAACTTTCCCAAGAACCAAACCCCTGTAAGGATGAGAAGGAACAGCTTTACACCTCTGTCCAGTTCGAATACAATCAGGCGTCCAAGAAATTACAGTGTTGGGAGCCGGCCCCTCAAGCCCCTCAGCCCTCTTCGTGCCCTGGACATGCAAGAAGGGGCCGACCAGCCGAAGACCCAAGTCAGCATTCCGGTGGTGTAACTGTGTGTTTCCCTCCAGTCCTGGCCTCCCGCCCTTGCCACTAATCACCAAGGAGTCATTTAACTTCCAGTCCCTGCCTTCCCGACCACGAACATGAGGCCCTGTGTTGCAAACCAACCTTAGCTCTCCTGCAGTGTGAACCCTCTCCCCATCCTGGGGCAAGTTGCCTAGTTGGGTGCTTCAGATCACGTTCTCATTGAGTGTTCTGGAGGAGGAGGAAGAGGGGTGATCGCCCCTGGACTGATTAGCTTACCTGGGACTGAGGCTAAGCAGGGCCAGCACATTGGTCCTTGACAGTCTCTGGTGTCCAAAGTGACTGATGTCAGTAAACTGGGGTGGGGTGGAGGGGGACACATGAAGCCCATTTTCCCTTTACCTTTGTCTCTTCAAAGTGTGCTTTACTCACAGCTCTTACCTGCCTGCTTCCTTCCCCCTCCCTCATCTCCCCATTGGATTGTCTAGTGTGATGCATGTCACTGTCACTGTAGTGTCTGACTAGGGGGGAAGGGAAGGTCAGCAAGAGAAATTTTCTCTGCGGAGGGGCCCAGATGGATGTGGTCAGGGCTGGGGAGGGCGGGGAGCCTTTTCTTTCTCCTCCCTTTCTCTCAAGCCGGGTCTTGCTAGGGTCAGCCTAGGTTCTAGAACATCCACAGATGCTCTGGAGCTAGGAAGTGGATGTAGAGTGAGAGCTCTTGCCTCCTTTCATGAGAAATAGCCCTAAGGCTTTGCTGCCCTGGGGAAAGCTGCCTCTGAGAGAGGGGGGAGTAGGCTGGTTTGCGTTTCTCAGGAGCCAGGCATAGGCCTTCTGGCAGCTGTGGGGTGAGGTTTAGGAGAGAGGGCGGTCCCCTGCTGCTGCAGGGCTATTGCAGGGCAGGTTCTATCTGTTCTCCAGTGGCTCCAGCTTCTCTGCCAGCCTCTGCCAGCCAGTGACCTCGGATTCAGGTTTAGAAGGACAGTGACCACTGATTCAGGTGTCGCCACTGATGTTTGAATTGCTCAAGTCAAAAGGCAGAGAAGAGTTCATCCAGCTGCTTATTATTTCCTAAACACTCCTTTTTAATGAAAACATCTCGAGGAGGCTTTGGGACCCTGAGGGGTCTAGGTCTTCGCTGCTTATATTTATTTCCCTATTCTACTCTGTCACTTTATTTGTTTCTGTAGGGTTAAACAGAAGATGTTTACAGCCGGGATTCTTAGCCCCTCGGTGATTTATGATGGCATGCTTCTCCCCCTGAATTTGTATGTTAAACATGAATATGTGGGCATTTTCACAAGAGATTTTTAAAAGAGAGAGATGACTCCCCATCTTGAAGTTATCAGTTTGTCCTTTAGAAGTAACCAGGGAGAACATAGTAGCTGTTTGCCCTGGGGTTCGGGATAGAGGGGGGTTGGTGACAGAAGACCTCTTGTCAAGATTCTTATCCAGGAATCGTTAGCACTTTTGAAATGTACACATGCCTGGGTCTGTTTTAGGCTCATTGTTCACTCAGAATCTCTAGGGTTGGGGTCTGCACGTGCCTGTGGTCAAACAGCTTCCCTGCTGATCCTGGTGCATTCTCCAGGTTGGAGCTCGGTTCTGTGAGGTTGGGTAAAGGAATACTACTCCCATCTTTAACCACTTACACTGCAGGAACAAATCACTATGTAAATACATAAATGTCCTTGGCTGATCGCTGGGGATTTTAAGCACCTGGCTGTAGGCACTGAGATAAAACCTGTAGGTTGAGAAAGATTATCATCAGAGGCAGCTGACTTGTGACCTTGAGTCCTTCATTCTAATTGGAAATCTAGAACAGGACATCACCATGAGTTTCCTAAGGCTGCTTGCCTAGATTCTGCTTGGAATTACCTGCTCTTCCTGCTTAACCATTTGCGTAATGTGTACTTAGTTCTCAATTTGTGGGGCTTTGGGCTGGGTGGAGTGGGGGTGCAGGGATACATAGAAGCAGAAGAAAAGGTGCTTGCCTTGAAGAAGGTTATATTAGAATCAGGGCATATAATTTACAATAAGTGAGCATTTGTGAAACAGGCAACACTGAGTCTGTAGGTGGAGTACAGATTACTTGACCTTTCTCTTGTCCTTGACCATAAGCCTGACCAAGTTGGGAGGTAGGAATGCCACAGGTCACTGAGATGTTCATGAGGATGACTTCCCTGCACTACCCCCTGTGCTAGTTTGCTTCTTCCAAAAGAGGATCCTGAGGTGGTCTTAGTATTCCCAGAGAGGACACAAGAAATTAGAGCTTGACCACAGCAAGGGCTTCAGGCATTCTTCATTTTTAGAGCAAGATTTCTCCAGAGAAGGTTCAGCAGGAAGAAGCCAGGAGAACTTAGGATGGAATAGAGCTACAAATTTTATTTTATTTATTTCATTTTTTAAAATAATATATTTTTATTGGTTTCAGAAAGGAAAGGGGAGGGAATGAGAAATATCAATGATGAGAATCATTGATTGGCTGCTTCCTGCATGCCCCCCACTGGGGATTGAGCTCACAATCCAGGCAAGTGTCTTGACCGGGAATCGAACTATAATCTCCAGGTTCACTTAACCACTGAGCCTTACCAGCGGATGAGCTACAAATTTCAGAGAAGTCCTACTTCTTATCTTTTTTCTTGTCCTCCTCTCTTGTTACTTGATTGTGTATTATTCTATGAAGAAAAGGTGGACTCGAGCATTTTTTTTTTTTTGCTGAGCCTGTCAGTTTTGTTATAGGAGTAATAAGTGAAGGATTTAGCATCTATCTATTTTTCAGTTGCAGTTGCCATTCAGTTCTATTTTCTTTTATTGCTTTAAAGCTGAAGGAGGGCCGAGACCGGTTTGGCTCAATGGATAGAGCGTCGGGTTGGGGACTGAAGGGACCCGGGTTCGATTCTGGTCAAGGGCATGTACCTTGGTTGCGGGCATATCCCCAGTAGGGGGTGTGCAAGAGGCAGCTGATCGATGACTCTCTCATCGATGTTTCTAGCTCTCCATCTCTCTCCCTTCCTCTCTGTACAAAATCAATAAAATATATTTAAAAAAAAATAATAAAGCTGAAGGAGGAATTCTGTGACATACTTTAATCCTCAGATTTGAATTTAGCTGTTACTTATCTGTATTGTCTTGATTTTATTTTGGTAAGGGGATTGTTTTACATTCAATTGGAAATCAGAATAGGGAAGTAATTTAAAACTAACATTTTGTGCTAGATGGTCTTATCATTATCTCTGGGTTTTATTTTTGTTTTGTTTTGTTTTTGTTCTTCTTTCCCCCCAAGAAGTTAAGAGGTAGGAATACAATGTTTGTTTTCCTAGACTGAACAGTTGTTTCCGATGAGACTTTGCTGTTGCTCTTTGGAGGTCCTGGCATTTTGAAGGAACAGGAAATAGCTGTTTGGAAATAAATACATCTTAAATGGTACTTCTGTGAGCAGGAGTTCTGAGTTCCAGAGAAACTATGGATGCTTGGGGTAGTGAAAGGAGTAGCGGGGAAGTGTCTAAAAATGGAGAGAACCATATCTTACACACAGTTCATGGTCTTCTAAGCTCAGAAGCCAGACTGTGTTTTAAGAGATTTGATAAATTTACCTAGGTGTTCCAGTGTGCATTTATTCATGTTTGTGTTTTAAAATATTTTAATTTAAAAAGTTACATAACAAGTGAGTCAGGTTTAGCAGGATTGATCTCTTACTTCCTATAAAGGTGACATAGACATCAGAAGTATGTCCAGGAATTTAGCTGAGATTCATAGTGGCCAGAAGACTGTATGTAGCAGTAGCTACATTCTGACTCACTGACAGACTCTAGTGGGGTCCATATGCTGACTGACAGACTCTAGTGGAGTCTGTATGCTGACTGATTGACTGACAGACTCTAGTAGGGTGTGTATGCTGACTGACTAACAGGCTCTAATAGGATCCGTATGCTGACTGACTGACTCTGGTAGGGTCTGTGTGCTGACTGGCTATACTAGGATATGTAAGCTGACAGTCTGTCTGACTGTTTTGTAACTGTACCAGTTGGGAGTATATTATTGTAGTTCTCTGTCTTTTGCATGTGTCCTACAAGAAAGGAAGTAAACACTCCACATGTGTTTTTAGGGGGAAGTTCTGTAAATTATGGTTTCTAATAGACATTGCTTTTAGAGTGGCAGCCAAAGTTTCATTTTTAGAAAATGAAGGTTGTGTATCACTTGTATGACATTTTGTAAACTCAGCTAAGGAAATGTCTGCTCAAAGCCTGAAATGGTTATTCTACTTGAAGTCACCCCATTCGTTCCCCAACTTCTAGGTGGATTTCATTTTTACCACTTGTGTCTGAACCTTCTGTGTCCACAGCTTCTCTGTTATAGAATGTAGCACTCCATTGGATAATGTGGTGATTTTAGTCTGCCATGCATTTGGCGCTTATTCATGACCTAATAAATAAAAATGCAAAGGTAATTTTGCATTCAAAATTTTAAGAGGTGGCAAAGTATTCTTAATAAGCCTTTCATTGGGTCTCTATGACTGATATTTACCTATTCAATGTTTTGTTTCTGAATTGCTTATGTACATTTTTTTTTTATTGTTTTGAATTAACTAGATCAACTCATTCTGATATGGTAATGGTTTTGCTATGGCAAAAGCAAAGGACTGATCACTAACTGTGCCCAGGTTGGGAATAGGCTGAATACTATTGGGTTGAATGGGAATGGACTGGAATGGGAACCCAAACAATAGAATTATCCTGCTGATTTCCTAGGCACAGCTCTGTTGAAAGAAAGAATGTAAGTCCTTAACAGCATTCTGATTTGATCTGGTGACATTGATATCAAAATATGCCACTCAGATCCACAGAAGGTGTGTATAACTGTACTTGAAATGTGTTTTGTGTGTGTGTGTGCAGAATGGGTAAATAAAATTGTTAAGTAACTTGAACCTATCAGAAGGCTCCTGGGTTTTTTGTTTTGTATTTTGGGTTGTGTTTTCTACCCATTCATCCCTTCTCCCCCACTACCCCAACCCCAAGCTTTGCCTCACACTGCCCAGTGATTGAACCCCAGACCGGCCAAAGCCAATTCCCAGTGACTGGAGTCCTTGGTGTAGGCATGGCTCTCTTCCACCACCTTCTGGGGAAGATGGGAAGGACATCATGCAAGGCACGTGAATTTCTGTAGGAGCTGTGTGTACTTTTTGAGAATGACCTCTACAAGAATTACCTGTTACCTTTGACTTCCATTAACAACATGTAACTCACTATTTATTGTAAAGAAAAAAAACACTTTAAAGATCTCTTAGAATTTAGTGGACTGTTCCTTCTAAATCATGACCTGCCTGTTTCTAAAGATGTTATAGCCAGTGAGATAAACCAGCGCTAGCTTCTGGGACGGGAAAATACGGGTGACTTGTATCACCATTGCCATGCCTTTTTCCTGTTACTCTAACGCAGTGTTTCCCAAACTTCTCTCATGATGAGAATCACCTGGTGGAGTTGTTAAACTACAGATTCCTGAATCCCAACTAAGAAGTGCTAAACTAGAATTTTTGGGAACATATAGGTAAAATTGTCTACTTAACTTAGTGCTCTGTCTTAGAATCTTAATCTTTGTCTTAACAGGATTACCTAGTGATTCCCAGGCACACTTAACATTTGAGAAACACTGTCCTAAGGGGAAGAATTTCTCCCAAGTTAAAACATTCAATCCCAGTTTAGGGGAAGAGGTTGATTTCTGCCCTGGAGTCATCAGTCTATTTCAGAATGGGCTGGGATAACTACGATGGCAGAGACCCTCCTCCGAAGCCAAGCAGCCCCCCGACTGCAATGTCACCCTCTCGGCATGCTCTTCTGACTGGTGGAGGTTACCTACTCTCCTTTTACCACGGCTTCTGCCTCATTTCCTGGCTCTGTAGCTTATGGCCCAGGGGTAAAAGGACTGCCTGGTCCAACCTGGCACAAGGAGAGTCTGTTTTTCTGGGAAAGAGGCCCATGCCTGTGCCACTGGAGTCTGCCTGACTCCCAGGAGTAGAGGGGGATGTGCAAGCACACCAGTGTCTGTGCGCATGTCTGTGTGCAGATGGGGTGTGGGCAGTGGGGAAGCAGTGCAGGGACTCTGCTCTGCTTTTCTTGATTTGCCAGTTTGCTGGTGTAATTGCTTTGTTTCTCTTCCTCTCTGGCTCCCAGGCAAAGACATCGCTGGCCGTGCCTAGACGCTCCTCTCCGGCCTCCCTCCCGCTGCTCTCCTGATCGGGAAGCTGAGTCCAGGCCTCCCTGGGGGACTGGGATCTGCTGGAAAACTTGGATATCGGCACCACCAGGGCTTGATCAAGAAGCGAAGCGGGGACTGGACGTTGGGCACCCCCAAAATCGGGCCTGGAAAAGCATCACCACATTTCTCCCCCTCATGCCCAATGGGAATATCGGTTACACTGAAAAACTTAACTTCTTTGTGCCTCCAAACATTAACAGCCTGAACTGGTTAATTATTATTTTTTTATGATCTCTTTGCCACATTTGGCCCAAGTTGGCCAATCTTGCTGTGTTTTGGTATCTAGCACCCTACCTGTGACTGTCTCTAGCTGGCTATTTTTTTTTTTTTTTGTGTGTGTGTGTGTGAGGTGCAAATACACCTTTCAGATTTCATTGTTTCCAGGTGAGAGGGCTGAACCCCAGTAAGTCTTTTCTGTCATGTATGAGCCGGTCTCCCATCCTTCCCAGGTGAGCAGGATTGGAGTACAATTTACAAAGGTTAGCATTCACTTTTTTTCTTCACATTGGAAACAGAAATTCCCCAGGTGACTGGAGGGTATGTGAGTAAGGTAGTCCCAGAAATGTCTCTCCTGTGATGATGGAAGAGTAGTGTCTACGGCAACCTTTTCCTTTAGAGAAGTTTTGCTGGTTCCAGGCTCCTTGAGGGCAGGATCTGACTGCAAGACTCTTCCAAACGGGTGCCTGTCTACTAGGCTCTTCTCTGTAGCTGCTGTGTTTTCTGTCTGATGCTGCGTGCCCCTCAGGGCTGAAGAGAAGGAAAAAAAAATAGGGTGCCAGTTCTGCCACATGAAGAACTAAAGAAGACTCCTTGGGAATCAACTCCACCAGGGAGTTCTTTTGATTTCAAAACAGATACCCTTCTTTGGGGTTCGTCACCATGACATGGTCTCTGCAGAAAGCTGTGGCCGTGACTTTAAGAGCAGCTGGTTTTCTGACCCCGCCTCTTAGCTAGTTGTCTCTATTTTGGTCTACCTGTCTCAGTAAAACATGGGAGGTACAGGGGAACCAAGCCCTTAGTCAGTTGGTTTCCCTTAAAGATAAGCCAGATAATTACCCCTGGTTAGTGATTATCAAATATGCAAACATGTTTCTGTAGATTTTGAGGTCACTTCCTGAAGGAGGATGACAGTTCCAAAGAATATTATATTTTACACTCAAAATCATTGCTTTTTTTTTTTTTTTTTTTCCCAAGAATGAAACGTTTTTATGCTTTTGCATTTTTGTTTTCTTTTGACTCAGATGCCCACTTGCTGGGCAAGAGGGTGAGTAGCAAGGAAAGTAATGAAATGTAGCTTTTTTTCAAATGGTTCTTTTATACTGTGGTTGACATGGGGCCGTTACCGAAGATACGATGAGCTGGGCTGCAGGCAGTTCAGCATCCAGCACCTAAGAGGTGCTTTTATATGCACGAAGCTGCCTTCAGAGAGGCTCCTGACTCTGCTCTGTAGCAGGTGATTTTCATCTCGCTGCTTGGAGCATGCTCCACTGTACTAATTGTGTTCTTGGGATGCAGGTGTCTTTCTGCATCTATATACACTGTCTTTTGATGACCAGATAATTTATTTATTCATCCATGTAAGGTATTTTTAAAGTCCCCATAGTAGTGTTTGCATGTATTTAATCAAAATGTATGGTCATTTGTGTTGTCATTTTTTTTTTTTTTTTTGGTCGAAATTGAGGTTGGAGCATTCAAGTCTATTGTTCATAGTATTATCTTACGTAAGTTAAATTTCTAGAATATAGATATCTGTAAAAGGCTAATAACTATTTTAAAGCACAGTGGATTTCTTTGAATACTGTTTTGCTCATCAGTTTTTATCTATGAATCAAGAGATGCATTTCTCTGCACAAAAGTTGATCTCCTTGATCAATAAAATTATGCTGAAATATGTAATATGTATTGCTTTTGTAATAAATATAATAAAAGTTATTTTAAATTAAAAATGCAATTTTTGAAATCACACACACAAAAGAAGATAACATTAGATACATTATGCATACACAAAATATTAATAACATTGTGTAAAATGTGTTTGAAACTAGCTTCTTTAAAATTATCCTTAAATTATTAGATTGTGTATATATTTCCAACTGATGGTTTTAATTGGTGACTCCTGCCTTTATCAAGTTCATTAGCTTTTCAAAAATGATATCAGTGGGATCATTACAGTCATGCATTATTGACATTCTAAAGCTTTATTAATTTATTTAACATATTTAATGATCACTTATTGGTTGCCATGCAATGGTAACAAGAAGTCTTTGTCCTCTTTCTAGAGTTTATGATTGGAAAGGAAAAAGTGAACAGCAGTTCTCTAACTCAGCCCTCCCTATGGGGGATGCCTTCCCTTATAAATAACCTTGACCGAAACCATTATTAGGTAATAGTTATGTAAATGTTTATGATAAAGGGACTTTGAACACTCTCATTAGCGTCAGTAGCAAAAGATAAAATGAAATGTTCGTTATAAGAATATAGTCCTAGGCATCTGATAGAATGAGAACTAGTTATCAGTTCTCCAAGTGCAATTGAGAGGCAATGGTTATAAGTATTGCTAAATGTACTGAGCTTTAGCAGTATATCTGGAGGAGTAACAATAATGAAGGTGTCAAGGATGTAATTTCTTTAGATCTCTAAGCACCTTTGGAGGTGTTTTCTTATTCACCAACCAGTCGATCCTTTGTAGAAGGCTGGGAGGCTCTGGCTACATTAACCCTGTTTTACAAATAGGTAAACACCCTTTTTGAGTGGCTCACCTCAACACTGATTGAGTTTTTGTCAAAGTCCATACCTCAGAACAAGGTAAATCATAATATTTGTAGCAATGAGGGCTTGACAAACACAACATACTACTATTTTTAAATGTAGCTGGAAACTTAACCAATATATCAGGATTAGAAAATGACTATTCAGTGAGTTACCCAATGATGGCCATTATTTGCTTGATTTCTGTAGCCTTAATTATTACATCATGTTGTAAACCTTTCCATGGTCTTCACTAAGGACTCACTGTGAGAAGAGTCAACCTCAGGCTCATTAGCTTGTCCTGGTTGGTGACAAACTTATTGGCACTTCCTGTGGCCGTTGGGCTGTCACCTACTACCAAGGTCTCAAGGTATCCAATCTACATTCTTTGTCTTGAACTCACTTGAAAATTTGGCAAAAGCCAAGGGCTCTCCCCAGAAAAAGGTAGACACATGTAAGTTTTTCATTCCATTTATGGAGCTCAGAACCTTCTCAAACCCATCCCTGTGCATCAAGGTAGGAAACAGGAGCGAGATAACACCACACACACACATACACACACACACACACACACACACACACACACACACACCACCTCCCTTTCTTTGACATGAAAAAAATGACATCCATTTGATATTTTTTTAAGCAGAGGAGGAGAATATATGAAATACTCTTTTGTTTTTACTGGACATTGTGGAATATTTAAGAATTTGAGTGGGTTGTAATCATGGAGAGAAATAGTTAAAAAAAAACAAAACAAAAAAAATCTCACTTGATATATTTATTGATTTTTAAAGAGAGAGACAGACATAAAGAGAGAGAAACAGAGAAACATCAATTGGTTGCCTCCAGACCACATCTCAACTGGAGTGGAACCGGCAACCTAGGTATGTACCCTCACTGGGAATCGAACCCACAGCTTTTTGGTATAAGGTTAGCTGTTAGACAACTGAGCTATCCAGCCAGGGCAATGCTTTCTTTTTCTTAAAAACTTCAAGGCACTGTCTTCTTTGATTCTCATTGAGCCCATGCCAGCTATATTACTTTCATCATTACGGGCAGAACTTCCTCCTGAATTCCCAAAGACATTTAAATATCCTTTTTGATTATATGCAATACCTTACCTAATGAAACCAGGTCAGATTCTAGAGATGAATTTATCCTTGCAATGAAGGGAAATAATTTCAGAAACAGAGGGGCCCTTGGGAAGCAGCATTCCAAATCTAATGAGGCCTAGTCTCAAACAGTACAACGCCCTTCACCACCACCCTGCCCACTTTCAGGAAGTAAATTGTTGATCCACGTGAGTTTTCTTCATTAGTGATCTGTTTACAATTGTTTACATTCAGTTTCCACTTCCTAAGATCTCTCCTTTCTCATTCATTTCATTGCCTTTTTAGAATTGATGGATGAGATGGGAAACAGTCTCTAGGCATGATTTAATAAGGTCTATTAAACATTCTTTTCCACATTTAAATTTCTGGCCCTAACTGTTTTGGCTCGATTGATACAGCATCAGCCTGCAGACTGAAAGGTCCCGGGTTCGATTCTGGTCAAGGGCATGTACCCTGGTTGTAGGCACATCCCTAGTGGTGAGTGTACAGGAGTCAGCTGATCGATGTTGCTCTCTCATCGATGTTTCTAACTCTCTATCCCTCTCCCTTCCTCTCTGTAAAAAATCAATAAAAATATATTTAAATTTCTGGATTATTTTAATCAATCCATGGTTTGACCCTAATTTTCTGCATTCATCAGCGATTCAGAGGAAAGGTGGTTTCAGTGGAGGGTATCAGCAAATCCAAAGTGCTAGCATCTTCTGTCTGACAGAAGATTACCGTCACCTACAGTGAAGTTCGGAGATAAGCAGTCTGAGACTAGAATGGAGCTCCCTCAATCAACAAGGACCCAGGTCCTTCTGACATGTTAACGCATCATCCTCAAAGCGTGTTAGAGTCCACCTCTTGTACAATATAGCTACTCAAACAATGGGAACTGGGTCTATACTATATTCCAGTCGGCAGAAAGGAACAAAAAAGATACACCAACTTATGTTAAGGATATTTTCTAGGTTTTGCATATAACATTTATGCTCACACCCCATTGTCCAAGGCAAGACAGGCTGGGATTTTTTTTTTTTTTTTAATTCCAGGTGGTCTTGTGCCAGCAATAAATATGAGGTTTAATTACTAAAGAAGAAGGTTGAAATAGATATTGATAAGGGTTAGCTATCTGGTAGTAGGGACTTTTAAGCAAGTCCTAAAAGATAACAAGGTGAGCAGTAGTCTGTAATTATGCTGCTATCATTTAAAAGAGGTTATGTTTCATTCATCAAATCTGATCTTGCCATAGTGCATGGCAGTCTTTACTCACAACCAAAGCAAACTCTATAATATTTCGTGAACAGTGAGACCTTTTGAAAATTTATATTAGTTTTATTATATAATCTGCATATAGGTTACTTTTCTGGCCCAGATTTTTCTTCTTGAGGCATTCAAGAAATATCAACTCAATAAACAGAAACTAAATGGAGAAGCAATTTGAATACTTTGTGAATTGGCTTGACAAATGCCAAAGTGAATGCATTCATAACATAGTGTAGAACTTCATATATATTTATTGAATTTTTTCAGTGAGGAAGGGAGAGGGGTAGAGAGTTAGAAATATCAATGAGAGAAACATTGGTCAGCTGCCTCTGCACAACGGTGCCCGCAACCAAGGTACATGCCCTTGACTGGAATCAAACCTGGGACCCTTCAGTCCGCAGGCTCTATCCACCAAGTCAAACTGGTTAGGGCAGCGTAGAACTTCTTAAAACCATCTCCCAGTTCTCTCAAAATCTTACACATATACAAATACACACACACACACACACACACACACACACACACACACACCAGAGCATGTACGCCCCTGTTGAACTCCCCACAGCCCTTCCCCTAGCCTAGGCATGGCTGGCTTTTGTTTTTCTACCCTTCCTCATTCCCCTGATCTCTTCCAGTAATTACTGCCTGCCCATTCTTTGTAAAGCTATCATACCGGTCTGAGTACAATTCTGCATCTGACATATTGCCCTCCAGAAAACAATTTAGATTAGATTAAATTGTTCTTGAAGTTCAAAGGTCTAGAAGAGCCTGTAATGCTTATTTATTAATTTATCTGATCTTGGATACATAATAAAACATATAATTCTATAACCCCTCATATGTAATCGCAAAATCTAAATAGCTTTAGAAACAAAGATTTCTTCTAGTTTATTTGTCAAGCAAAACCTGACCTTAACTTTGTGAGAGCATTTATAGCCTCTATATCCCACTTAGTATAAATATTTTTATACTTCATGGAGAAATATTAGTAAAACAATATTATAAGCAATATAGTACCTTTCTGAAGCCCTAATAATTCTGAATCTGAAGTAAACCATTGAGATGAAGAATTATTTGCAATTATTCCCTGTGGCAGTGCTCTATTTTATGCTCATATTTATGTAGGGATAGACAAGATTTACTTCCACTTTTTAAAATTATTTGTTTTTTAAACACAATAAATATTAGGTACTGTGAAATATGCATGCCTCAAGAAGTTGAACATGTAGTATGTTAAGAAAAATTACTCAGAACTTGGAATTAGGCAAAAGGGATCACTGGAGAAATTTTTCAGTGGATTACTAAGTACGGTCTAGCAGACCTTCTCTGGGGATTATAATTTCCCCAGAAATTACACAGGGGTGTGTAATTATGTTTCATTTTCTAATTAACTAGGTCTTTTGTTTTACAACTATAAAAAGTAGAGGTCAATTTGTAGACAATGGATCAAAATGCAAGTGATTCTTTTCTGAGACTAACACAATGATTCTAATCACAGCAAAGCAAATGAATTTTGTCCAGTAAATTCATTTCCATCGATTAAAAAAGCTGATTCCAAGTATTAGTTTGTTGCCCTGTCTAAGATTAACCAGTTTTGCATCTATTGGAAAAGTGAATTCAGAATGCCTTTTCCTGACTGACTACATTAACCTCTGTTCCTCAAATTCTTCTTTGAACTATGTATAGCATAGTTAAATTAATGGTCCCTCATTAATTGAGATGAGTAAAATCTGTCACATACTCTTTTTATATTTACATACCAAGTCAATATACACAAACTAACTAGAGAAGCAAATTGAATATTTTTGTGAATTTGACAAAGGCCAAAGTGAATGCATTCACAATATAGTGTAGAACTTCTTAAAACCATCTCCCAATTTCTCAAAACCTTATACACATGGACCAGAGCATATACACCCTTGTTGAACTCCCCACAACCCTTCCCCTAGCCTAGGCATGGCTGGCTTTTGTTTCCTACCCTTGCCCATTCACCCGATCTCTTCCAGTAATTACTGCCTGCCCATTCTTTATAAAGCAATCAAACCAGTCTTAGTACAATTCTGCACCTGACCTATTGCCCTAGTTTTCCAGAAAACAATCTAGATTAGATTAAATTGTTTTTAATGTTCAAAGGCCTAGAACTGTGGTCAGCAATCTATGGCTCGAGAGCCACCTGCAGCTCTTTGGCCCCTTGAGTGTGGCTTTTCCACAAAATAGCATGGCCTGGGTGAGTCTATTTTGAAGAAGTGGCACTAGAAGAAGTTAAATTTAAAATATTTGGCTCTCAAAAGAAATTTCAATCATTGTGCTGTTGATATTTGGCTCTGTTAACTAATAAGTTTGCCGACCACTGGTCTACAAGAACCTGTAATGTTTATCTATACTAATAAGAGAGTAATATGCTAATTAGACCAGGAGACCTTCTGGACAAAGCCATGGTGGCAGGGACAAGGCAGAGATTGTTAGGAGCAATCAGGCCAGCAGGAGAGAGCAATTAGGGGGATCAGGCTGTCAGGGGAGGGCAGTTAGGGCAGGCAGGCAGATGAGCGGTTAGGAGCTGCTGTCCCAGATTGTGAGAGGGTGCAGTCTGGGCTGAGGGAACCTCATGTGCCCGCACCCCCTCCCCCCCGCACGTGCACAAATTTTGTGCACCGGGCCACTAGTCCATCAATAAGCATTATGAATGTCATTAACTATGGAAGATTATACTTTAAAAGGTGTTTTCTCTCATGCCAAAACTGGTTTGGCTCAGTGGATAGAGCATTGGCCTGTGGACTGAAAGGTCCCAGGTTCGATTCCAGTCAAGGGCATGTACCTTGGTTGTGGGCATATCCCCAGTAAAGGGTGTGCAAGAGGCAGTTGATTGATGATTCTCTCTCATTGATGTTTCTAACTCTGTATCCCTCTCTCTTCCTCTCTGTAAAACATCAATAAAATTTAAAAAAAAAAAAAAAAAGGTGTTTGCTCTCTAGCAATTCACATATTGACCAAAGATAAGCTATGGAAAACCTATAAGGCAGTTAAGTATACATTAAGTGAAAAATATAAATGATCAGTGTGGATTGGCAAGGCTGTTGTCAAGTTTCTGGATGACTGTGTATAGCATAGTCATTGATTCTGCATCGCTTTCCATTCACTTGGCAGGCAATTCTGCTTTGCATTCTGGAGTGCAGAGGATGGGAACACACCAACCAGGCACACTCCCTGTCCCGGAGTTGTTAATAGTTAACAGAGGAGAAAGATATGAGCAAGTCATTTCAAAGTAATGCAAACCCATGGAGGAGAGAATGAAATTTGAGACCTTACTGTGTCCCTTAGACTTTATCTTTATTACAATTTTTTGTACTATTTTTTTAAACCTAAAATTGTGTAGAAATTTTACTCCTATTTTATCCTGGCACATAATTACCAGCGAATTGTTGTAACAGACAAGGAGCTATGAGAGCCTCAGCGCTAGTTTCCATGCAGGACTTTGGAGTTCTTCTCAGGTTTGGCGTCCAGCAGGACCAGCTCCTTGCTGGGAAGCCATGAATCCGGAAGATCAGAGACAGGTAAGGGTGGTTGACTTCCCTGCGCACTCTGTCTTCAGCGTGCTCACAGCCTGGGGAGTGCTGGTTATTTGAGAAAGGGGGATGAGGTAGTGCCCAGAGTTGGGTTTTACCTGGAAAAGCATCAGCGATTGGCACCCCTTTCTCCACCAGCAGCGCTGGACAGAGTTGCAGAAGGTGGACTTTAAACATGGGCAAATATTGACAGAGGTGAAGGTCACGGCAAGACCCTGTCGCCCACGCCTGTCATGGAAGGATAAGCCTGCACTTCAAAGGCACTGGTCAGCTGGATTTGCATGACCAGAACCCAAACAACTTCTGAAACTGAGTTTTAAAACTGGCAGTTCTTTTTCCACCCCTTTATGCTCTTGCAAAGTCCTTTCTGTAGCAACTTCACCCAGCTGTTTTTAATTTCCTGTTTACAAATCCCACCCCCCCTTTTCTTTCTTTCTTTCTTTCTTTCTTTTTTTTTTTTTTTTTTTTTTGCATTTTTTTCCAGGGAGGAGAAATCAATACAACCCGTTCTCTAGGTGGGAGGTGGTTGGTTGGTCTGATCTTGAGCGGTGTTAGAAGACCTGTTTTGATCCAAACCAGGCATCCAGGCCTGAGTCAAGCAATTGATCCCAAGATGTTTTTCCCGGTTGTGTGCTCTCTTGTGGTTGTGTGGCTGATTTCTGGCTCAGATGGTACGTATGCTTTGCTTAAGGTCAGTTTTCAAGGCACTTGATGTCAGTTTGTGGGTTGAGAGGCATTCTGTCTAGGATTCTAATGACATTAAAATCAATGAAATGTATGGGTCGCATTGAAAAATCTCAGGTTGCTTGGCTGTATTCTCTGTACTCCATAGGGGCTTAGTCAACATTTACTCTGAGTCTGCTCTGTAAGTGGGCGGCTACCTGTTTGCTTACCCCTTCTGTTCTAGGAGCAAAACCAGTATCCGTTTCAGTGGTCTTTTATAAACTCCAGCAGTGCCCTTTGGAAAGGGGATTGCTTTTTTTCCCCCCCTCATTTTTTTTTAATTAAGGTATTATATGTGTACATACCTTACCAATCTCCCCCCCCCCCCACTCCCATATATGCTCTCCCTCCCCAGAGTTTTGTGTCCATTGGTTATGCTTATATGCATGCATACAAGTCCTTCGGTTGATCTCTTATCTCCCCCATATCTCCCTACCCTCCCTGATGTAATTTGACAGTCTGTTTGTTTCTTTACTGTCTCTGTATCTATCCTTTTGTTCGTCGGTTTATAATGTTCCTTATTCTCTATAAATGAGTGAGGTCATGTGGTGTTTTTCTTTCATTGACTGGCTTATTTCACCCAGCATGATATTCTCCAAGGGAATTGCTTCTTTGGGAGTGGATAACGTGCGGCTGAATTTGAGTGAAATTCCGGTTAACCTGAATCCCAGGATGTGGATCTACATGAACATGGAAGATTACAAGGAATCAGAATCAATAAGCCAGCAAAAAGAGAGTCAATGGGGGAGGAGGGGGGGCTTGAATGAGGGCTTCCTCACCACACCTGATGTGCCAGTGAGTCCGTTCCCTTCTCCCTCCAGAGAGCTGTCCGGAACTTCCCTCCGTGGACTATAGTATAGTTGTTGCGAAGGAGGCGGAAGGACGCGTCCTGGGGATCTACATGTGCATGCAGGGCTACCACCTGGAAGGAGAGAGCACCTTGTTTTGCAACGCCTCTGAGGGGTGGAATGCCCCTACCCCCAGGTGCCGCTGTAAGTTGGATCTTTCTGCTTCTTTGTCCATCTTGCCATCCCACTGTATCCTTTCACCATTCTACCTCCAGTAGCTCCTGTTCAAACGTGGTAAGGCAAGAATTCCAACTCCTAGGAATCCATTTTTAAAGCACCCTAGTGGCGTTACTTCTTTTAGGCGGCACATAATCAGCTCCGCATAGACTCAACCACCCTCCAAAAAGGAAAGACTTTCCACCAAATAGTAAAATGACTTTTTTTTTTTTTTGGAGGGAGGGGAGGGGGAGGAGGTTGTGAGGGCCTGTTAAATGTTTAATATCATGCTGATTTGCAGTTTTTATATTATGAAGACTTTAAACGTATTGAAGGCATAGTTACTTATCACCCAGCTTCAACAAGTATCAATCAGCACACGACTGATCTTTTTTCCTCCTACAATAATAATGCTTTGCGTTATTATTACTTGGAGGTAGTAATCTGCCATATCCTTTTTCTTCATTCACCCTATAACTTTGAAATGAGAAAAATTTATGTCGTTACTTTATAAATGTGATAACTGAGATCCACGTGACTTGCTCAAGCTCTCAGAACTCACTTTATGGTGTCTGTAGAGATGGAGGAAAAGTCGTCCGTGTTCTCTTTATTAGTACTACGTTTAGGAATAGTTGGATCGATTCTCCTTTATTCTCAGGGTGAAGAACACCAGCATGTTAACCTTTTACTCATATGACCAAATTCACATCTCCCTGCATTCTCTCCTGTTTTTACACCCGAGAAAACAAAATGAAGTAAAAAAAAAAAAAAAAAAAAAAAAAAAAAGACATGTATATTTAGAGGGATAAACAAGAAGGAAACACTTGCCTCAAACATAGGCTCAAGGATTTTGAGCAATGCTTTACATAACAGGATGATGAGCTTGCCATTGGCAATTTCCAGTTCGATGCTTAACTATTTTTATTAAGTTCAAGTGCCTACTTCACTCTTGTCCAAAACCAAGACCTTTTCACTCTTGGTCACGTACAGGAGTGACAATGACAAGAGTGACCCTCAGGCCAATCCAGTCTTCTCTCACCCTGATTGATACCATTTGGTATCACGTACTAGTCCCTACTAAGAGAGTGCAGTTTTAGCTCGAATTTCTTGTTTTCTCAATGACGCGCCAGGAGGTCTAGGGTCCGCTGCGGTGGGTTTCATTCTGGTCCTTTCAGGTCACTGCCTCCTTTCTTCTGCAGTGGGCCACTGTCCCGACCCTATGCTGCTGAATGGCAAGTTTAGTTTCCAGTGGCCTGTGAAAATGAGAGACAGAATCACGTTTCAATGCAATGAGCACTACATCCTCAAAGGCAGCAACTGGAGCCAGTGCCACGAGGACCACACCTGGGTGCCTCCCTTTCCCATCTGCAAGAGCAGTAAGTTCAATAGAAACACATGCAAATCCCAAAGATGTCAATCAACATTGGCCGCCAGGCATTCGCCACATCCATTGGATGACTTCCTCTCTTGTGTATCTGGGGAGGGTATAGGATCTAACAGATAGCCAAGAAACACTGGGAGGCCCTAGCCTGTTTTGCTCAGTGGATAGAGCATCGGCCTGCAGACTCAAGGATCCCAGGTTCGATTCCAGTCAAGGGCATGTACATTGGAGTGTGTAGGAGGCAGCTGATTGATGTTTCTCTCTCATCGATATTTCTAACTCTCTATCCTTTTCCCTTCCTCTCTGTAAAAATCAGAAAAAATATATTTTTAAAAAGAGAGAAAGAAACACGGGAGCTCAAGGAGCAGGGCCTCAGCTCCAGTGGCTTATTCCAGTGAAATGAGCAGCATTCAGACAGTGAACAATGCTTTTTTCTTTTTTTGAGTAGGATTCCCATCCACTAGGTCTAGCACAGGGCAACTTGGAACATCTGACTTTTTAAAAATATATATATATTTTATTGATTTCAGAGAGCAAGGGAGAGGAAGGGAGAGGGAGAGAGAGATAGAAACATCAATGATGAGAGAGAATCATTGATGGGCTGCCTCCTACATGCCCTCCTACCTGGGATCAAGCTAGCAACTTGGGCGTGTGCCCTTGATCAGAATTGAACCCAGGACCCTTCAGTCCACATGCCTGATGCTCTAGCCACTAAGCCAAACTGGTTTGGGCCATCTGACTATTTTTTAAATTTTTATTTCAAGATACTGAAAATTTTTATTTAAAAAATACACAAAAACAGGGGGAAAAGGCCATTACTAATAGTATAAGAGTTGAAAGAACCTCTTATTATTTTATTATATAGAATAAGAGTTGAATGTACCTCCTCTATCATTGTAATTCACAGTTCTCAAAGGCAATAAGTTGGGTGTATTTATTTCATGATTTTTTTCCTTTAATTTATGCAGGTATTTTAAATAAACAAATGCAGTGGTTCCTGTCATAGCTCCAAAATGCAGAATTTCTGTCTTTTTGTTTTAGTTCATCGCCCAATTCTGAGGGAAGTTCCCTCGGTCCCTGAATAAAGCAGACTCTTTTCTGTTTAGATCCAAGATCCAAATCATCTCCTTCAGTTCAAAACCGCACTCTTAAAAGTCACCAGAAAACCCTATCTAAACTTGAGTTTCTTAAGTCATTGAAAAAATTTTTTTCTTTTCTCTATAAAACCTTTGAACTCAGTTTTTGATCTTTTAAAAAAATATATTTTATTGATTTTTTTACAGAGAGGAAGGAAGAGGGATAGAGAGTTAGAAACATCGATGAGAGAGAAACATCAATCAGCTGCCTCCTGCACAGTCCCCACTGGGGATGTGCCTGCAACCAAGGTACATGCCCTTGACTGGAATCGAACCTGGGACCCTTCAGTCCACAGGCTGATGCTCTATCCACTTAACAATTATTTATTAACTGTTCAAGAAATGTATCTCTGTTGTAAAAAAAATATTTCAGAAAATAAAAAGAGAAAAATATAATTACCTACAGGCTGACCACCCAGGGATCGCAGAGTACTTTGATATATAATTTTCAGACATTGTTGTTCATAGATGTTTGCATAGGATGGTGTTTTACAAAAATTATATTATGTATACATACTCTTTGATGTCTTGCTGTTTGTACTCAGCTATTTGGGCTGAAGACCTTTATAGACCTTTATGTTTCAGTAAACATACACCTATGTAATTATTCTTGATTTAGCCTTTAATCTTGATCAACATGTTTAGACTTAACCTCAGAGCTGAAAGCATAATATCATTTCACCTGCTCATCGTATAGGTAAGGAAGAAAGCCAAGAGAGGTGAAATGGCTTCGTTAGTGCCATGCGGTTACTAGAAGAGCCAGAACTAAAACTCACAACATCTAATACCTCCTCCAGCTCTCTTTCTACAAATCTCAACCTTAATGATCCATGCTTTGTTCTCCTTTAAAAAAAATATTGATTTTTTATAGAAAGGAAGAGAGAGGGATAGAGAGTTAGAAACATTGACAAGAGAGAAACATTGATCAGCTGCCTCCTGCACACCCCCTACTGGGGATGTGCCCGCAACCAAGGAACATGTCCTTGACTGGAATCAAACCCGGGACCTCCAGCCTACAGGTGACACTCTATCCACTGAGACTAACCGGTTTCTGATGTTCTCTTTTTTTTTTTTTTTTTTTTTTTTTTTTTTTGATGAAGCTCTCATATTGTATAACTCTGTCCCTTGGGGATGTCAGTCTCCATTTGAACTCACACTATTGATTTCCTGTTTTAGAGTTTACTTCTTCAATTTCGGTTTGTGGGGTAAATTTTCTTTTCTTATATACTGACAATTAGCATCTCGACCACTTCACCACCTTTCCTTGAGCTCCTGCCAATCAGGAAAGACCTCTCAAGTCTCTAGTGACTCAGGATGAGCCCAGGGAGGGGGTCTTTCCCATGGACAGATATGATTTTGAGCAGAAGGAAATGAATGGAGAACACACATGTCCCTAGGTGCCACATGTACTGCTATGGTGATGGTAGGTGCTGGCATGGACAATTAATTGCATGTAGGGGGTGTTGTTAATTGAGCATAACTGAACTTCAAAACTGTCTCTCCTATTGTCCTGCCCCCAGGAGACTGTGGCCCTCCTGGGAACCTAGCTCATGGCTATTATGAAGGAGTAGATTTCAACTCGGGATCTACCATTACTTACCACTGTGAAGACAGGTAAGAGAAAAGCTTGCCCATTGACTAGTAGCGTTCTTTTTGGGAATGACCCAGTGTGTCTCAAAACTAGTCCCCTGATTTCCTACTGCTCAGGATTCTGAGCTCATTCTCATTTTGAGAGCTGCCTTAATCCATTTCCAGCTCCACCCAATCCCTAAAAGACAGACTAACCTCCCTGTTTATCCTAATTATTAATAAAGCATCATCTTTTTTATAAATGTATATTTTTTTCTAAGGAACCTCAGAACAAAAAATTCAAGGAAATACAGAACACACGGAACTGCAGAAATAGAGAGATTTAGAATATAGGTCCTTAAAATACCCTAAAGTCTAGCCTTAATTTAGACTGTCTGGTCACCCACCTTACAGATCGCCTCACTTTTTCTTTTCCTTGCTCCTTCTTATTGACTCAGGGTTGTGTGCCTTCACTAGCATTTCAATCTCATTATGTACCTCCAGCAAACTTTGCAGTCAATTCTCATGTGTTTTTTAATTAAAAAAATTTTTTTTTTTTTCTGATTAGAAGTTGCAGCCTCTTTTCAGGCAGTTCACTAAGATGCATTTGAAGGCTGTCTCTAGCTTTCTGCTCCTTTTTAGAGCCTAGATGGCAGATGCTTATTTAAAGCTCTTCCCTTCACCCCCCTTCCAAAAACTGTATGTATAAATGCACATATTCAGAATTTCTCACTTCTCCCTGTTTTATGGGTTGACTCATCCGTTGGGCTCTCCACACTCCAGGGGGTGGTTGTACTTGAGTACTACCTTGTAATACGGAGAGCACTGAAGCATGCCTTATGGGTACAGGGCAGAGAGGTGAGTTCTGTCACAACCAGAAATACCGAAATACAGCAACACAAAACCAGCCTTAGTTGCCCTGTTCAGAAGGTGAAAGGCTAAGCATTGTGGCCGTTCTAATTTCTGTTCAGGTACCACTTGGTGGGCACACCGGAGCAGCGGTGCATTGATGGGGAATGGAGCGGTGCACCTCCGGTCTGTGAACTGATCCCAGAAGCTCCCAAACCAGCCCCACAGACTGCTCATGAGAAGGCACTGGTGAGTAGTAGGCTCTTGTCTGTCTTGTTCGCAGCTGGATCTTCAGGGCCTGGCATTGCTCTTAATACATGCTTAGTAAATATCTGATCAATTTGGGATGATTTTGAATGGGTTGGCCTTGACCTGATTGTGGAATGGGGGCACGTAATCTATTATCTCACATTTTTATATATGGTAGTTCCCATTTGCCACCCGATGAGGCATTGTTAGTAGGTGTCATTGTTTCATGTACTTTGTAGAGCAAGGCACATAAGCTCATGTTTATAATATTTTTATTGATTTCAGAGAGGAAGGGAGTGAGAGAGAGAAACATCAATGATGAGAGAAAATCATTGATCAGCTGCCTTCTGCATGCCCTTTACTGGGGATTGAGCCAGCAACTCAGGCATATGCCCTTAACTGGAATTGAACCTGGGACCCTTCAGTCTGCAGACCAACACTCTATCCACTGAGCTAAGGTGATAACTCAGTTTTCATTGAGACTCCTCTTTTAGTTTATATTTACTACTGGGATAATAGTAAGTGTATTTGAGCATCATGTTTAAGATTCACAGCCCTATGTGAGTTGGCTTGGTTCTAAGCCCCATTCACATACTCACTATCTTCAGAATATCGAGCTGGCTCTCCATTCTTGTCATTTACAAAAAATTTTCTTTCTTCAGCTTGCCTTTCAAGAGAGTGAGGAACTTTGCAAAGCCATAGAAAACTTTATGCAAAGATTAGAGGAAAATGGCACAACAATGGAAGAACTAAAACATTCTCTGGAAAGTAAGAAAGCTGAGTTGGAGGCAAAAATATTGTCCTGACATTGTAGCTGAGTTGACTGGGTAATGTCAATACACCTATAAATAAAGTTTCCTCTTGGTTCTGAAATTGGTTTCAGAATTTTCTCTCATTGGACTGAAAAGCAACTTCAGAGTAATCAACTGCAATTGTATGATGGACCGTGTGTGAATGTGTGTGTGTGTGTGTGTGTGTGTGTGTGTATGTTTGAAGGTGGAAGGACCAAGTGTGATGGTTGTCTATTTAAGACAAGAATTAGCAACACCATTAATGGGGAGAAAAGGATTTGATTTCCTGTATACCAGGAAAATCAAAAGCTCAGATCATAACTAAGAGTGTGCCTCATATTAATATGAGACAGGAACGGTGCAGCCAAAATTAACCTCAAGTGAACCAAAATTATGAGGTAAAAATTAACCATTTATTTTTGGGAAACAGGCTCAAAACAGTTATATCTTCAAATGGGCCGTTGAGGAATAAGTAGAATTAGGATCCAAACTCTCTCCTGGGCTTTGCCCCTATATCCTATTTATGAAACCAGGTTTCCAAATCTTCCACAGTGCATAAGATTGCTCATGGCCTTTTGGATGAAACCCATCCTGCACGGTTAATGTGAGATGGTGCATCACAAGCGAATATATTCTTTTATTTTTTTGAGACCAGAAAACACAACAATCCCAATAGTTTCTTGTCAAGATGTTATACTGAGCTGATATCACAAGCTTCTTCCATCCCCCACTCTGCCCTCTGTTTAAGACACATGGGAAATGTGAGTAAAATACAAGCAAAATACATAAGAGAGCTTGAAATAATGGAAAATCTCTAGGAGAAAAGAAGAAGAAGAAGAAGAAGAAGAAGAAGAAGAAGAAGAAGAAGAAGAAGAAGAAGAAGAAGAAGAACAACAACAACAACAACAACAACAACAACAACAACAACGACAACGACTCTCAAGTAGCCCACAGTCTCTGAATGTACATGTCTTCATTTAGGATGGTTAGGATGAAACAGGCATCTTTCACAGAACAGTGTGCTATGGGAGCCCACATGTGAGGAGCATGACTTCCATCTGGGAAGAGTTAGAGGCAGGAAACTTGTCAAGGAAGATGTCATAGTTATTTGAGCCTTTAAAAATGAGAAGTTAGAGACAAAGATTAGGGAGGAGACATTCCAAGTGAAAAAAGAATTTGAGAAATGTAATAAGAGAGCCTGAGCTTTTTTAACCAAGTAAGTCTGCTTGTAGAATTAATCTAACTTGAGCAAAATGGCTTTTAATGTGAAGCTATTCATTTTGTTATTACCTTTATATCTGCCCTAGTAAGGACTTATGAGCATTTGAAATGTCCCATCTTAGAGAAATGTTAAATAAATCATGACACATCAAATGTAATGCAGCTTTTTATAGTGAAAATTAGAGGCCAGGGCATGAATTCCTACATGGGTGGGGTCCCTTGGCCTGGCCCGTGATTGGGGCTGTCTTGCCCAGTCCTGATAGGGGCCAATTGGACCAGCTGGACAAGGAGAGAGACCACGGAGGTTTGGCTGGCTGTGGGAGATTGGCTGTGGGAGCGCACTGACCACCATGGAGCAGCTCCTGCATTGAGTGTCTGCCCCCTGGTAGTCAATGCATATCATAGTGACCAGTCAACTGGTTGTAACAGTCACTTAGCCTTTATATATATATATATATATATATATATATATATATATATATATATATATATATATCAGAAAATTATAAAATATAATCTTGAATCTTGTAATAAAATACAGAAAGACAAGTTGTTATGATTGAATTTATTAAAAAACTTATTCTTATAGAAAAGGATCAGACAATAGATACAGATGAAAACAGTTGTCTTAAAAGATTAAATTACAGGTATTAACTTTTAAAATAATAATTTGTTCCCACTGATTTTTAGAGAGAGTGGGAGGGAGGGGGGGACAAAAGAGAGATGGAGGAAGAGAGAGAGAGAGAAAGAATCATTAATATGAGATTGGTTGCCTCCCTTCCCATATGGACCTGACTGGCCTGGGGATTGATCCTGCATCTCAGGTATGTGGCCTTAGCCAGGAATCAAACCCATGATCCTTTAGTGTGCTGGATGACACTCTAATCACTGAGAAAAACTGGCCAGGGCTAAATAATAATTTTTGAGAGGTGCTCTGCAGAGGCAGGAAAGATGGGACCTATTTGGGGACTAGCACATTGTCTGTCTGACTTGGCCTGAATAAAGCATGGGAAGTGATGAGAGAAAAAGCTGGAAAGATCCATTACAGTGAATCTATAGAGGGCTTTAAAAGATATGTTGGAGATTCTAAAATTATTTGGTAGGCAGCGAGTACAAATGTAAGACTTTTAAATAAGGAAGTGATGAGGACAGAACACAGACTGTAGGTACTACTGGTGGGAGTAGGAAAAGAACTGAGACAGAGAATCCACTACAATAGTCCCCACCAGCGACAATGATGGCCTGAACCAGTTTGATGGCAGGAGAAATAGAAAAGAAACAGCAGATAAGAGAGACATTGCAAAACCCAATAAGAATAATATGTCAATGGACTGAACGTTGGAGGATGAGGGAGAGAAGAGTTTGAAGGGGAGTCTGAAATAGTATTCCTGGGAGCCTGGCTTAATGGTGGGGTCAGAGGTAAGGCTCTGGGCAGGAAATGAGAAATTCCCCTTTGGATGTGCTGAGTATAAGGTACTTGTAAGATATCCGTTTAGGAGAGTAATCAGAGATAAAGATAAAGATGTAGTTAGAGAAGTTCTCTTATAGGGAATAGTTAAAGCCATGAGAGTAAGTACGGTAACTAAAGATGTGAAGAAGAAGAAAAAAGAATTTAAAAGAAGAGCCTGGGGTGTAACCATACTTAGAGATGAGAAGGAGAAAGTAGGGGTACAAATAATCAACAAAGAACTATTAGTAAGATTGGAGCATCAGGAAAGTCTAAGTGAATGGAAGCCCTGGGAGAAGAGAGTTTCAGAAAGGAGATAATCAGCAGTGTTCCAGGCTGCTAAGAAACCAAAGGAGATAAATTAAATACATTTTGGGTTTGGAGAAAAGGTCATGTCTCAAAGAGGTCTTTCAGAAATGATGGGAAGAAGTCAGATGGGAAGGCCACAAAAGGAGGGCCGTGGACTGATAATGAGAAAGAGTAGGGAGGAAACATGGGAGCCTTTTTTTTGAGAAGTTCAGCATTTCACAACAGAAGAAACATAGAATTTAAGGTTTCAGCAAGATGAAGGCAATATTTCAGGATGAAAGACACACTGAAAATAAGGAAGGCTTTGTTGGTAGTTCAGTAGTCCTGATACACCAAGGTTTTGGGTTTGATCCCCAGTCAGTGCACATACAAAAGACAACCAATGAATGTATAAATAAGTAAAACAAATAGATATATATCACTCTCTTTCTCTCTGTCTCTTAAGTAAAGAAAATAGGGGGAAAGAGAGGGGAGAGAGTAAGAGATCAACCAAAGGACTTGTATGCATGCGTATAAGCATAACCAAAGGACACAGACATAGGGGGGTGAGGGTATATGCTGAGGGGTGGGAGTGGCCGGGCAGAGGTCATTGTTTAATACTTCAAACAATGAAGAATTTAAATAAAATAAATAAATAAATAAATAAAATAGGGGAAAGAACAAACATATCGAATATCTTCTGAAATAGAAGTGAATAGGAAAGAAAACTTGGGGTGGGGAGAAGCTACTGTAGAATGTTTTTCTTTTTTAGTGAAGTAGGACACAGGTCATCTGCTGAGATTAAGACACTTAGTGATCTGGAAAGAAAAATTTGAAACAGTAACTCTGGAAAATAAAGAACTCCAGTAGATTGGAAAAATGGTATTTTCAAGACCCAATTTTAAGGTAATATTTCCTCTAACTTAGCTCTCAAAACTATACAATCCAGAATCCTCCTTTATGCTCATTCTTGTCAAACCATCAAATCATTTTCACCTTTTCACCCATGTACTTTTTACCTCTAATATCTTCCTCATTTTATGTATTTATTTTAAATATATTTTATTGATTTTTTGCATAGAGGAAGAGAAAGTGATAGAAAGTTAGAAACATCGATGAGAGAGAATAATCGATCAGCTGCCTCTTGCACACCCCCTACTGGGGATGTGCCCGCAACCAAGGTACATGGCCTTGATTGGAATCGAACTTGGAACCTTTCAGTCTGCAGGCCGTCGCTCTATTCACTGAGCCAAACCTGTTTCGGCATCTTCCTCATTTTAATCTAGTAATTTCCACCTTTCATTCAAAGCTCAACCTAAATGTCATATATTCTGTCAAAACGTCTGCTGTGCTTCTATTCCTTCTTTACTGAAAAATTTAAGAGACTTGTGTTTATTATAGAAAAGGCAAAGTTGTCAGGAAGAATTGCTTTCTCATAGCAATCTCCTGAGCTCACAAAGTTGAATCTTGAGGATTAATAACTTGATTGGATAATGTTCGAGTTTGAGATCTGTCCTGGATCATGTGATAATAAACATGGCTGGCTGTTCATTGAATTCTTCTGAGCAGCACTCAATGGGAGACTAACTTCTGGAGGTCATTTAGTGCTCAGCATTTAGTAGTAGTAGGGTTGGTAGTAGTTAACATTTACTGAGTACTAATAATATTGCAAACAATGTGGCACCAATCAGGAACTCAATAAATGTATGAAACTCCCCACCTTTTTCCTATTTTCTTGAGGTGACCAAGACAGGTCAAGGTCATCTAAAGGTCACAGTGCCCAGGAAAGCCTGCTGGACCTAGCATCATGGAAAGTGCATCATGTTTGTGAACTTAGTCTGAACCATGTTGTAGCCAAGGATCGCAGGCTAGCTGAATTGAATTTTTCATAACCTCATATGTTTATGAATAAAGAAAAAGAATTCTGGCATCAAATACATATTACATTTTCATTTAGGGGAAATGGTTGGCAAAGAGAAAAATGATTGCAACATGTTATCAAGAATGAGGGCTAGTAAAGAGGAAAGAGATTGGGTAAACACTGGTGCTGTGTTTCTGC